CCCTCCCCCGCCAGGGCCTTGGCATCCTCACCTATGAAACCAGGGGGAAGACTGAGCTGACGGCTCGGGTCCCTGTCTCAGGGCCGAGGTTCTGATCCCTCCACTCTCTGGAACAAAGGGAACACATCCTTTGTTAATTCCTTGGACGTGTGTATGTTTATCAAAAGCTCCCCTTGACTTCCTCTCCCATTCTTTGTTACTATTGAACAAGGGATCATGAATAAGTGTCAGCCATTTTTCTGGGCATGTTCAGTTTTTTCAATCAAATATGCCATTTTGTTTTGTTCATTCATTTCTTTTTTTCCGAGTGGAAAAAACACTATCAAAATACATCACATACTATAAAGTGGTAAAAGAGAGAAGCCTTAAAATCCAAAGTTAAACGTGACTATTTTCAATGTCTAAATATTTGTGTATCTAGGATCTGTTCCAAGTTCTACAGCCTGGTGAGGCGGATGTTTGAGGGCGGAGTGAGGCTTGGAGAGGTTCACTGACTGGCTCAAACTCACAAAGCGAGTTCGTGGCAAAGTCTGGATCACTAGGATACCCAATAGTTTTTCTTTCTTCCTTTTTTTTTTGAGGTTTTATTTATTTATCTTCAGAGAGAGCGGAAGGAAAGGAGAAAGAGAGGGAGAGAAACATCAATGTGTGGTTACCTCTCACGTGGCCCCCACTGGGGCCCTGGCCCGCAACCCAGGCATGTGTCCTGACTGGAAACTGAACCAGTGACCCTTTGGTTTACAGCCCATGCTCGATCCACTGAGCTACACCAGCCAGGTCTTTCTTCCTTTTTTTAAAAAAAATTGTATTGATTCTTTTCCTTAGAGAGAGAGAAACATCGATTTGTTGTCACGCTTCTTTAGGGATTCCCTGGTTGATTCTTGTATGTGCCCTGACCAGGAATCAAACCCCAAACCCTGGTACATCAGATGACACTCTAACAACCGAGCTACCTGGCCAGGGCCCAACCGTATTTCCACCAGAGATCCTTATCTTCCCAAACAACCTGCCTTTCTAGATTCCCTGCTACTATTACCTGCCTAGAAATGTACACTTTGTACATAGCAAAGTTAAAACTTACTGCCACAGGATTGTACTTGTCCCACTGGGCTCATGTTCCTGAGGGAAAAGTCGACCCCACCCACAGGCTCTCCATCCCCACTGACCCTGCAGAGGAGATGCTGGTGTCTCAGGCCCTGAGAGAGTCCAGAGTCCGATCGCCAAGTCTCTGCACGCCAGGAAGACTACAGCTTGGAGGAGACTACAAAAAAGATGGCAGTTTCCTGGCGTTTCCTGGATGCATCCCTTTGTGTCTAGACATCTGCTCCCAAAGAGGAAGGCAAAGGAATGAAAAATGTGAAAACAGGAAGAAAGGCAAGGCGGCATGGGAGCAGCCTCTTTTCTTCTTCCCCGACAGGTCGCTATCCAGACATCACCCCATGTCTCCTTCGAGCTGTTACTTCCTACTGCCCTTGGGATGTGTGTGCGACATTAGTTCCAGATTTGCGAAGCAGGACATGTGACCCCCTTTCTCACAGGTGCCCTAGTCAAAGTCACAGGAAGCACTCTGCCCCCCTCTTCACCGTTGTGAAGACCCTTCAGCTAAATGAGAACAAGCTTTACCCAGGTATTCCTACCAATTCTTCTATCATTGTAATCAATCACAAGCTGTAATTTCTAGGGCAGCAAGACAGACATGACCTGCTGGCCAGACTGTGACAGGTTATTTACATGGAATATCCTTTAAGACACGGTGCAGACAGGACAAATGCAAAGCATTCGAAGGAAACAGATTTATTGGAAAAAACAAAACAAACAAGCAAAAAAAAAAACAGTAGCTCACGAAAACTTGGCTACCTCTTTTAAGACTGGGAATAACTTTTGCTCCTCTGCTGGGCTTGGAAGAGCTCCCTGCAACTCCAGTACCTCGGACTCGGCACTGCACGGAACCGCTTCCGTCCTGGCTGTCACCGCTTCCACGGAGGAAGGCTGGGTGGGACAGATCCACGCCATCTCTTCAAGGCTCTTGGTGCCGCCTGCTAGCGGCTAGCAGCCGCTCCTTACCTTTTTCTTGCCCTTGACGTCTAGCCTGTGCAATTAGCACCTTATTATAGGCTGGCGTCTGGTCTACTAATCATGAGTCTCAATTGAGCACTTTTATTGTCTTGTTGTACACTAGTTTCAGCGCCTGGGCTATCCAGGGGAAATAAATCCCGAATTCCTTCTAGGCAGGCGTGTGCTGATTCGTGTGCTGGTTCAATTTATCTCCTCAGGCCCCTGAGAACACTGGGGACTCACAGGCACGCAAACAAACACTTCCTGGCCATCTGAGACCTGCCGGACGTCTGTTCTGGTATGAGACATCCATCCCCATGCCTATCGACCCTCCAGACCAGGCCGCTGGCCCCTCTGCTGTCCAGAGCTCTCCTCAGCCTGTCTGCAACCTCTCCCCTTCTCTAAAAGGGCTAGTTAGACACAGGAATCTCCCATTAGCACCATGTTCTATATTCCTCTAAAAAAAGGATTCAAGGAAAGGAAGTTTACATTTGAACAGACTCCATGCTCTTGGAATGAAAGCTAACTATAACTTATAGGGCTGTTACCAACTCCGTTACACACACAGGCCTCCTTCACCGAATACTCTGGGGAGCAACATGGGGCCTCGAGGGGGGTTAGGTGCGCAACTATGGGAGCCAGGCTGCCTGGCCTCGCCTCCGGGCTCTGCCACTTCCTACCTGGGTCAAGGCAATGGACCTCTCTGTACCTCAGTTTCCCAGCCTGTGAAACAGAGCTAATAAATAGCACCTGTCTCATAGAGCTCTCATGAGAATGGAATCAGATCATCTCGGTAAAGCATTTTAGAGCAGTGCTCGGCACTTAATAAGCACTAGGTCAAGTTGGTGTTAAATAGAACTGATGGAGCGCAGGGATTTAGGGTAGACAGACCTACAAAACAGCATGCTCTCCAAAGAATCTGCCAGCGATGGAAAGGGGAGCTGGTTTAACAGAACGATGTGCCAGCCTCAGCTTCTTGGTTTTCTGGCTAACGTACATTCTTTAAATTGCTTCAGTGAACCCCCCCCCCAAAAAAAACCCTCTGAATTTATGAGCTTTAAAAATGTCCAGTGCATTATCACAGCAAATGGAGTGACAATGTCCTGGCCGCGCTGCAGTGGGACAATTAGTGCAGGTGTCACTGTTTTCGAAGAGAATGGAAGATGAACACTCAACTGTCTCCACCCCCCACGCCCGCTGAGCCCAACGTGTCAGTCACCATCCGTGACATTATTTAGCAAATAGTGCCAACCCTTCTCCATCGAGGAACCTTCAGGCCCTCGTTGAGCAATCAGTTCGAAGAGAAGGTCTCCATTTTTAAAGACACAGAGATTTTTTCATGAAGACGGCTCCACAGCCCCAACTCACACTTTCTTCGTGTCTTCTCTGATCTGTTCACTCGCTTTTGCTTTTTAAATCTGCAGTCCCTTTAGACAGCCCAGCTACTAAAATTCCACATCCAGCGCCTCTCTTTTCGGAGCGATCTCTAACACAAAATACCATTTCTAGCACCAGCAGTCCCCGATTAGCTCTCAACAGAGGTCCCCCCTCGGAATCCAGGCGTTTGGCCTTGCACAAAGGCCTCTGGGCGCCACAACAGGTGGAAGGAAACTTCCGGCCTCACCTTTCCCAACTTTCCCACAGGGCAAAGTCCAGCCCTGCAGGACGCCTTCCCCGGAGATGCGCCTCTAGACAACTACGTAGAGACAGAAGAAACGACTCACATCTAGTCTAGTAACATCATCTACTACGGGGACTCGCAGTTTAGTGCTTACAAATGTGGGAGGGTATTTCCCTTCTGCACCTTCCTCTGACCCAGCCACGTCCCATCCCACTGTGCGCATCTGTGTCACCACCAGGTTGTGTGCCCTGGATGGAGCCTGCCCTTCTGCGGGGGGAGCTTCCCTGGGCAGAAGCTGTGTCTTACTTGTCTTACTGTTCCTAAGACCAGCCACAGTCAGCTCCCAACAGTAATCTGTGAGACTGTATGGAAGATAGTACGTGTGAAACACCAAACATTCTTTGGATGATCAAGCCATTTTGTTTTGAGAACAAGAAGGTTCCTCAAAAATGAGACACTTGGAAAAGTCACCAGGCCCCCTCTGCTGCAGTCACTTACCGATAACTTTACTGCATTTATCCACAAGGTGTCTTTAAAATTTGTACCATACCCCGTCTGCCCCGCCTTAATGGGCTCCTTCGGTGACCCCATATTCACCTTGTAGGCATCCTTTCCGGGTACCGAGGCCGGCAGTCCTATACGGCCACCCCCTGGGCTGTTCTTTCCCCTCTAAGCAGCTGTGCACAGCGCCGAGATCCCTCCAACAAGCCACCGCTGGGAAGCGCTAGGGATGCCTGGGCACTGCGCCCTTCGTCAGCGCCGGTTGCCACGACTCTCCCCTCTAGCTAGTCTTTTTGGAATCATGCACTGGCGACCTTCAGGGACAAGGGGACCCGGAAAGGTCCTGGGTCACCGTTTGGTAAGCCCCAGAGTGAAAGAGCGGGGGATGGGAGGGGAGAATCCCTGGGGTGGAGTGAGGACGCCTCGGGACTCACTCCTGGCCCGGACCCTTCCCACCGAGGACAATCTAAGGAGGGAGGGCTTCACACGCCTCTTCTATCAAACCATCCTAGGGACCAGGGAAATGCAGGGTCGAGGCGGGGGTGGTGGTAGGGGAGAGCGAGGAGAGGGCCCCCGGGCTATTCACGAGGTCCGCCTCCCCTCGCTGGCGATCTCTCTCGGCCTGTCTCTCTCACACACGACCGGCTACTTGAGACACGCGCGCGCGCGCACACACGCACACGATCTGCCACTTCCACTCCAGCTCAGAGCAAACTGCGCCGCGCGACTCTCGCACTGCGAGTCCACCGGCTCCGTCCCCCGCTCGCGCCTCTCGCCTCAGCCCGGCTTTTCCGCCCAACCCCAGTTGCCTCTCCCAACTGACCGTGAAGTCGGAGGCAGTTCCCCAGTCCCAGGCCCCTAGTGAGGCTCCCTCCGCAGCCGCCGTCGCTTCCTCCTGCCGTCCCCGGCCCGGGGCCCGGCCTCGGGCTGCAGCGATGGCTCCCGGGCACGAGGCGCCGCGGCTCCCTGGTCTCGGCCAGACACCCGGCGGCGCCCAGGAGAAGCCCATGGAGCTCCCGGCAGTGGCGGTAGCGCCTACCGGAGCAGCCGCCGCGCAGGCTGATGACACTTGCGCGCAAGGTGGGGGCGCGGTCGGCTCCGGGGCGACGCGGGCTGATGACGCGGGAGGCGGCTGGGCAGCATGGCGTCCGTGTCGCTGAGCGAGGCGGAGAAGGTGTACATCGTGCACGGCGTGCAGGTAGCTCCAGGGGCGGGGGCGGCCGCAGGTCCCCGCGGGCCTGCGGTACGGGCCGCCCTCGGTTCGCCCGGGAGGCGCGGCGGGCCTGGGTTGAACTGGCGATTCCGCGGCCAGCGTTCGCAGCTTTAAGCCGGCAGCCCCGGCGTGTTTAGAACCGGGCGGCGAGCGTCCGTTTAAGGACCGAGTGCGTACTTAGTCGAGCCTTCCGAGTCTACGGGGTTCCAAACCCGGGGAGGAAGGTGTGGGCCGTGTCCCTGAGGCTTTAGCGGGGGAGCCTGCCCCCAGGGCTGTATCTGCAGCCTTCGCCCGTCGCTTGTCTGTGGGCGTGCGCTTCTGGCCCGCTTTTCATCGCCCGGGGGTTGGGAATCACAGGGAAAGAGAAGGCACGGGGGCGAAAGCGCTTTGAGAATATAAATGGCCTTACAAATAAAGGAGGAAGGTGTTTAAAAAGCGGCTCCACAGCCCGTAGCATAGTTTTTACTATTTCCCATTTGCTATCGGAGAACCAAGATCCCTACGGGCAGTTACGGCTTTTCTAAGATCTTCAGCGCTCACGCTTCAATCCCTGGTTGTAACTACGCCAGAAACAGAAGTGGAGGGTGCGGAGCCTGGTAGTGAGCTACCGAGGGAAGCGAAGCGCGACCTCCTGGCCTGTACCCTCCCTCCCAACGTCACCCCACCAAAGCCTACCCGGAATCCCGTATAGACCTAATCACTTTGTGTTTTGCTTTTCGCTTTTGATTCAGTGTGGTTAATTTCAGCTCTTCTGGCGTTCCTTTAATGTCAGCCTTTGATTCCTTTATTATTTCAAAGATGAATACAAAATAATAGTAATGGAATATAAGGTATACGTGGGGGGGACCCAAAAAAAGCCCTGGAATTTATTTATAAAAAATTGTATATTTATCCTTACATCTAAGTCACCTTCAAAGTACTCTCCATTTGGTGCAATTCATCTATCGAGACGTTTTTTCCACTGCTCAAAACAGTTTTTGAACTTGTTGATTTTGATGACTTTTAGTGTTTCTGCAATTTTTTGTTTTACCTCTTCCACATCTGCAAAACGTTTCTGGTTGAGGACTTCTTTCTTTTTTTTTTTTTAATTTTTTTATTGATTATGCTGATACAGTTGTTCTATTCCCCCTTTCATTCCCCTCCACCCTACCCCCCCATCCCCACCATTGCCCCCCCTTTAGTTTATGACCATGTGTCTCAAGTCCTTTAGATTCTATATTTCCCGTGCTATTCTTGCCCCCCCCATCTATTTTCTGTCTGCTGTCTATGCTACTTATTTTCTGTACCTTCTCCCCCCTTCTCCTCCTCCCACTCCCCTGTTGCTAACCCTCCTTGAGATCTTCATTTCTATGTTTCCACTCCTGATCTAGCTGTCCTTTTAGTTTGCTTTCATTTTAAGTGTGGTTGTTAATAACTGTGAGTTTGTTGTCCTTTCACTGTTCATGTTTCTTTAACTTCTTTTTCTTCAATAAGTCCCTTTAACATTTCATATAATAAGGGCTTGGTGATGATGAACTCCTTGAATTTGATCTTATCTGAGAAGCACTTTATCTGTCCTTCCATTCTAAATGAAAGTTTTGCTGGATAGAGCAATCTTGGTTGTAGGTCTTTGGATTTCATGACTTGGAATACCTCTTTCCAGCCCCTTCTTGCCTGTAAGGTCTCTTTTGAGAAATCCATTGACAGTCTGATGGGAACTCCTTTGTAGGTGACTGTCCCCTTAGCTCTTGCTGCTTCTAAGATTCTCTCCTTCATTTTAATCTTGGCGAATGTAATTATGATGTGCCTTGGTGTGTTCCTTCTTGGGTCCAACTTCTTTGGGACTCTCTGAGCTTCCTGGATTTCCTGGAAGTCTATTTCCTTTGCCAGATTGGGGAAATTCTCCTATATTATTTGTTCAAATAAGTTTTCCACTGGTGGCTGTGCCTTTCCCCCTTCTGGTACCCCTATAATTCTGATGTTGGAGCGTTTAAAGATGTCCTGGAGGTTCCTAAGACTCTCCTCATTTCTTTGAATTCTTGCTTCTTGACTCTTTTCTGTTTGGCCATTATTTGCTTTCTTCTGGTCCACTCCATTGATTTGAGTCCCAGTTTCCTTTTCATCGCTATTGGTGTCCTGTGCAATTCCATTCATTTCAGTTAGTTTCGCCTTCATACATTTGTCTAATTTGTGGCTATAATCAACCAGTTCTGTGAGGATCCTGATCACCAGTGTTTTAAACTGTGCGTCTGAGAGTTTTGCTATTTCTTCATCGCTTAGATCTATGGGCTCTGGGGCTTTGAGATCTTGCGACATTTTTGGTCTGTTCTGGCCCTTTAAGTGTGAGAAGCGGTGCCTCGGACTCCCAGGTCACTGGGTTGTGACGCTGTATGTGGGGGCGTGGTCAGAGCGGGGAAATGGCGACCCCCTCTGCTGTTTCTCACTGCTGGGTGAGGATCAGCGCCTTAGGTGGTTCAGCAGGGCCGGGCCACTCAGAGTCGCTGGGTTATGACGCTGTATGTGGAGGTGGGGTCAGAGCAGGGAAATGGCGGCGCTCTCCCTGCCGCTTGCCGTGGGGACCCGCTGGGTCCCGGTCCAATCGCCCACTCCCTCGCCTGTCCACCCGCGCACAAATGCGCGACCACAGTCAACACACAGCCCCGCTCCCCCACTGTCTCCCACGCGGTCACTCGCCTGGTCGCTCACTCGGTCGCTCGCTCGGTCGCTCACTAGGTCCAACCCTGCGCCTGGATTCCGCGCACCTGAGTCCATCTGACCGAGCTTTCCTGTGCTACCCCGCTTCACCAGCCGCTGGTTTCGCTCCTTACCGGTCAGGCTGAAGAATTTGTTGTTAACGGACTTCCGAAAAGTTCAGTTTTCCGTGTTCTGGCTGTGTTTTCAGTTGCTAACATTTAGTTGTCTCTAAACTTGGTTGTGTGAGAAGGCACGGCACATCCACCTATGCCTCCATCCTGGCGGAAGTCCTGAGGACTTTTTTCTTATGGGGAAACAAAAAAGAAGTCCCAGGGAGCCAGATTGGGTGAATAGAGAGGATAGGGCGTGGGAGTAATGCCGTTTTTGGTCAAAAACTGCTAAACACTCAGCGTGATGTGGGCAGATGCGCTCTAAATCACCCATCACGAAATGGGCAAATGCAATCAGTCTTCAAAAAAAAAAATTCACTGAAGCCGAATGCGGCCTCTCACAATAACACCAACTGGTATATTGATAGAGATGGGTTTCTAAAACAGTCACTTAGCAGGGAAAGCCTGTACTATAATGGCTCACTGTCCAGAATATAATTCTGTTTTGGGGGGGTCTCCCCTCATATATCAAGGGGTGCTATAGTTAGTGGAAGCCAGAGAGACTAAGGAATATTGGGGGCTATAATGCTCTGAAGCCTTCCCCAGGGAAGTGGAATTGCTCTTCTAAGTCCCTGTGTCCCTTCTGCATATCTAGTGGACTTAGTATTTCATTCATTCTACCTGGAACTGAGCTAGACTGAGGGATAGCCTGCCCTTGTATAGCACCCACGCTGGAAGGAAAAGGCAGAAATTACAGATCTATTTGTGTGTTTATATATATGACTGTACAGAGTGCTGTGAGGGGGGGAAGGCCTACCTAGTCTGGGAAGTCAGGGGAGACTTCCTTAAGAAATAGTATTTGAACCGAGCCCTCAGCATGACCAAGAATTTAGTAAGCTTGAGCCTGTCAGAAGGAAAGGATGCTAAGGCCACCCCCTGTGGGTAATGGTGGAAGATCAAGTTGCAGAGGGGATCCTAACGGCCTTACGTGCTCAGCTACTGCCTCCTCGTGGATCTTGGAAGGTATTAATCAACTTGTCTGTATGATACCCTGCTGAAGGCCTGGCCAGTGTCCGGCACTCGGGAGATACTCAGTAACATTGATGGAGCAAGGTAGGCCTTAACAGGGAGATGAGCTGGACAGTGTTTTCAGGTTTTAAATTCAACCTCCCACCAGTAGCATGGACATATTAGGGCCACAGTTGCTCAGCTCTGTGCAGTTGACCAAGTAAACCTGTTCATGGGCATTATTAACATTGGCCACAAACTTGCTGTGTTTATGGAGGAGCAAAACAGAATTTACACGATTCGAACAAAGATCGGAATGCATGTGAGGGAACCTGCTGCAGATGTCACGGACTCAGTTCTGAAGTCACCTAAACTCGGATCGAGTTGGTTCCTGGGTGCCAGCAGCGCACCTGAAGCCGTGCCTAGCTGGAATCCTCTTCTTGTCCCTAAAGACCCAATCATTTTGTGTTTATTTTTCATCCTTGGTTCTCTTTGGTTAGTTTCAGCTTCTGGCAGCCCTCACCCTCAGCCTTGATTTCCAGGATGTTTCATCTTGGTTTGGTACTTAGAAGCAGTTGAAAGTAACCTCACGGTGTTGAGGATTCAGTGGCTAGTTATGTTAACCCACGAACTGGCTCAAGCAGAAAAAAAAGTTTGTGCGAAGGATATAAATGTTTCCCCAGGAATCCCAGGGCGCTTAGGTCCCCAGGCGCTCTCTCACCGGCTCATCTCTGCCACCTTTCAGGCCTTCACTGTGCTCTCTTCTCCGTCTCGGCTGTTTCTCAGGCCTTGGGGTAGGGAGGCTGTGGTTACCTCTCAGCTCCTGGAGTTCCTGTTCCCTTGTGTAAGAAACCAGCCCTTGTAGTTCTCTTCTAGACTCATCACTGGACAGAATCACTAGGCTCAGATATGGCCACGGGAGAAAAGCCAGACTTGAAAGAGAGCCATTTGTGGGCAGGAGGATGAGTTGTTTTAGGTTCTGGCAGAAAATGGAACCTGACTGAGATAATTCAGGAGACTTTTATGATGGGATTCTTTTTAACAGTGTGAGCGGGTTTTGAGCAACCAACAAAGATGTCGAAGAGCCAGACAAGTGACCACAGGATGTAGCGACCGCCTCTAGGCCAACAGGGCACAAGGAGCAAATGGTGTCACCGGGAGCCAGTGATTGCCGGAGCCATGGAACAGGAGCTGCCTACAGAGGTGTTGTAGTCTGGGGCAGATGTAGGCACCATCAGAAATGTGGCCCCAGGTCAGGGGTGTGTGTGCGTCAAGGGGGCCACTCTGTTCTTCTGGTACCTTCCATTGGCCAAATTCAACCAGAACCAGCAAAGGGAGTCCAGGTGATGCAGGTTGGAGGGAGTCAACCTGGGGCACAGACGGGGTCAGAGAAGGACGGAGGATGGATGTGAGGAGGTGAGACGGGGCTAGTGGGAAGTTTGACGAATCAGTATTTTAATACGCGGTGTAATTGGTTCCTGTTAAGTCCCCTCTCGGCCTTTGGAGGCTGGGATGTCCTGCTTTTGTTAGGTGCATATTCTGTCCCAGGTGCAAACCAGGTCTCAGCAGTTGGTTGGCTCCACCCAGAAGCACGGTCCTGTCAAGGCCATTTCATTGCGTTTTTCTCGGCAGGTGAAGGGAAGCGTGATGCAGCCGTCCCTCTCCGTTTCTCTGCTGTGCATCCTGCATCACCTGGAAGCCCTGCTGGGGCAGCGGCGCAGAGGAGGGAGAACAGGGCCGGAGCCTGGTCTTCAGCCGTGAGCCCGAGCAGCCAGGACTCAGCTGCTCAGTTCGGCTATTCGGGGCGCTGGATTTTGAGCCCCATGCTATTTCCGTTTTGGGACCCATGGCCCAGAGAGGCTGCACCCAGGTGCTTTGCAGAGTGAATGGAGTCATCCTTTCAAAGGCAGGCAGGGCTCCTACACAGGCTGGGAGAGTGAAAGGGGCAGCGTCTGGTTGTGCTCACTGAGTCGGGGGGCTGGGCCCGTGAGGCTGGACCAGTCAAACTCCCTCTTCTAAGCTGGGCTGTCTTCTAGTCGGGGCGAGGCCCTCGTCTCTGCTGTGACCTCTCTCCGGGGTTGTTTTGGAGGATGCAGTGAGCTCATTTAACCAGTGCCCAGGAGCAGGTGAAGGGAACCGCTGATGGGACTCCTGGGTGCCCCACCGTGCTGAGAGGTCCCCTGAAGTGATTTGTGGTTTTCAGGTTTTCCTGGAGCTCTGTAGGTCAGGGTTGTTCCGCTTTCAGGCTGGCCCAGAGTCACAAAGCTGGCAGGTGACAGCAGAGATTTAAATACAGATTGGAGGCGCTTCCACCACACCGCACCCAACGGGCAGGGGTGCTGTGATCACAGAAGTAACTGCCTACCAGTCACCCGGTGCCATCCCGGCAGGCAGAAGCCCTTTACCTGGAAAGGTGTCCCTGCCCCCACTGAGGGCAGGGCTCTGCTCCCAGGCCCATCACTTGTGGTATCTCTGTCGGTTTTTAAAGGAAGCTTTCAGTTCGGGGCGGCCTCCAGTTTTAGGCGTTCACACCTGGGTGCCCGAGTACTGCAGGTGGATAAAAAACGTGGCGGGTGTCAGGCTGTGAGCTGAACGAGACAACAGTTGTAGGAGATTTCCTGATTTTTATGAGGAAAACTGGATTTTTTAAAACAGCGCCCTGCTGCAGTGATTCTTGGGATACTTTGTTTTATTTAGTTTCATTTTTGGTTTGTTTTGCTCCTATTCTTTTTTATGCTTTTTTTTCCTATTAAAAATGTATGGTTGTTGTATCCTTTGAAAGGAAAATTTGTAGCTTTTTAAAAAAATCTCTGCGTGTCCCTTGAGCCTTTCCCAGGGGCAGGGAGTGATTTAAAGGCTGCAAAGGCAGGGTCTGGTGAGGCCCCGTTTTTGTCACCTCTCCCGCCCCATCCGGGAACAAGTAAGTGGGTCCTCCCCACAGGCCCTGTGACGCGATCTTTCCGGGGTGAGTGGTGTTTAAAGTAGTGGTTGGAAGCCCTGTGCCCTTGTGGTCTCCTTGCTTTCAGGGCCGCCCGTTCACCCTTTGAGGGAGGCCTGAGCCGACCTCTGGCCCCCTGGCCCCCTGGCACAGTGAAGGGCCCCTGGAGGTGCAGGGGGCCGTGTGGGATTGTGGCAAAGAGCTCCGCCTGGGAAATCAAGTGCTGCCTGCTGGCCGCCTGTTTTTCTATTGGTACGATGGATTAAACGCGCTAACTGGGTAGTGTGTTTAGTGCATTATCTAATATATAGTAAATGCACATTAAATAGTAGTTACTGTTAACATTCGCAAATGATTGTGCCTGTTTTGATTTATAGATCTGTAGAATTAGAGAAACACCTTTGAGGCCATTTCACTCCATCTCCGTGTTTTTACAAGTGAGGGGGAAGGGACCTGTCCTACCTGGGTCAGGCAGCCAGGCAATGGCAGGACCAGGCCCAGAGCCCGTGGCTGGTGCTCCTAGCAACTGCTCACACTCATGCCGTGCCTGCAGCCTGGGAAGGGCTCCTTGTGAATGATGCTCCTGGGCCAGGTTCCCACCCCCCTAGCACACAGGGAGTCAGAGAAGGACCTAGAAAGCCTTCCTGTTCTGGGCAGGGGTTGTGAAGAGACTTCTACATAGTTTTTCTTCCCAGAGGCTCATTCTCCCCGACTTGAAATTGTGTTGCTTTTCAAGTCCACTCTCCACAGACTGGAGACGGGCAGGCTGGACGAGGGTGGGCATGCAGAGGGGCTTCCGTTTTCCCCCTTTAACAGGAGCCGAGAGAGTAAAAGAACTGAAACACACATGGCACTTGGTGGTAGCTGGTGCTGTGGGGGCGGGGCAGCAGCGTTTTGCTTCTTTGTATTCTAACTTCTCAGAATAGAAATGTCACTCCCAGTCAGTCGGCCGGTGGTTTAAAGGTAAGTTTCCGACAGCTAACGTACTTCAGGACAGCATTTTCACCGTTTGAGGAGCATCGACCCCTTTGAAGATCTGGTGATTCTAATGGCTCTTTTACTGGGGAAAAAAAACCAAAAACAAAAAATTATCGCAAAGAATGAGACAGATCTCTGTGAGCCGATGTGGAGGGGTTCCTTATATGCAGGGTGTTAGAAACGCAGTGTAAGAGTGTCTGTAATAGACCACCCTCGTGTAAGAAGGGGACATCTAAAATACTCCTGTGTCTGCTCATTTGTGCAAAGGAAATACAACGGGAACTAAAGAGATTGGCTCCCTGCTGGGTGATGGTGGGAAAGGGGGGGGGGGCTGAAAATGGGGACGAGGGGAGAGTGGTACTGGTTTCTCTGAGCTCCCCTTTTCTGGTGGCCCTGGCGCCCAGGGCCCGGTGACGGGCCACGTGGCCAAAAGGTGAATGGACAGTTAAAGGTCACCAGGGTGCGGGGCCCAGACTGGGATGCAGGCTGGTACAAACGAGGCACAGCCATGTGGAGGACGGGGACGGCAGCTGGAAAACGGTATTGTGGGCGGGTACCACGTAGCTAAAGGCAGAGGGAACGCGGCACTGTGCCCGTCAGAGAGTCTGCTTCTCACCGGGCGGGGGTCAGCCCTTCCCAGAGTACTGTTTTTTTTTTTTTACTAAGATTGAACAAAGACCTAAAACACTGTAGATAAGCAAGACCAGGGTGCTCCCCGTGGGTGAGGGAAGTCACAGATAAGACAAGGAGGAAGGTGAGAAGCAACTATCAGTGTGAACACGTGGCTTTTTAACACACATGTGGGAGAATACGGAAGTAAACGCAGGTGTGTGCGTGGGTTGGCGTGCACGCGGTTCCCTGCTCGCTCTGCTGAGAAGCTCCGGGAGCTGTGACTCCCCTGCAGCAGTGAACCTACTTCCCACCCTGCCCTGGTTTTTGGTTTTTCTCCAATAAAGGGAAGCAGGGCTCCTGGGGGGGGAAGGGTGGTCCCAGTGCAGGGGCAGGGAGAACAAGAGGCTGGGACGTCTGGTGTTGTTGGAAAAACCAAGACGTGCTAAAAGAGATCGGAGGCGTGTTGACAGACCACGGGAAAGCTCCCCGCGGCCAACACCAAATCTGGGGCAACAAGACAGATACTGGCATTAGCGGATTATAGCCGCAGCGAGAAGCAGACACTGAGTCACACTGACATCAGGAAGCAACGGAAGGCGTTAAGTGGGGCTGCGGGACAGCAGTGCCTGGAGCGCTTGGAAGCCCATCTTTGGCACAGGGGTTGGCAGACATGGGTGACTCACCAAGGACAAGGTGCACTGCCCGTTTCTCTGGGGGAATCAGAAGGGGTGACTTGGCTCGGCAGTCTGTTGTTGGTTTGAGATCACAGCCTCAGGACTGCGGTTGTTGCCGTAGGAGGACCTCCGCGTGGATGGCCGGGGGTGCGAGGACTACCGAGGGCTCGAGGTGGAGACGGACGTCGTGTCCAACACCAGCGGCTCTGCCAGGGTCAGGCTGGTGAGTGCTGGGGCCGAGTCAGTCCTGCCCGGGCAGGGGCTGGGCAGGGGGCCAAGCGGGCCCTGGGAGCCAGCTGCAGGCCCCTCTGGGTCTTTGCGGCACAAGCTGTTCTGGGGGAAATCCAAGGCCCAAGCTGGACTCTGGGAAGGGAGTCTGTCTAGGCCTGAAAGACCCCTTGTCTTCTCCAAGGGCCACTTTCCAAGTCCCAGCGCTGCTCTTAAGAGAGTGGCCCAGGGTCTGTGTCTGGGAGAGGAGGGAGGTGGTCGGGGGCCTGGCTGCCTGCCGGAGCGAGGACCCTTCTCGTTTGTCTGCAGGGCCACACGGACATCTTGGTGGGGGTGAAGGCAGAGATGGGGACGCCGAAGCTGGAGAGGCCGAACGAAGGTTACCTGGAGTTCTTTGTTGACTGGTCAGTACTGTGCAGAGGTGTTTAAAGAGAAACGAAGTAAAAGGTGAAGGTTCAGAGAACGGGCCCCTGGTCTCCTGCTGAGCCCTCTTTTATTTGGTGTTCAGTCCTCATTCGCCCAGCCAGCGGGTATTTTCCGAGGCCCTCCCCCGTGCCAGCCACAGGCCTGCGTGCGCGTGTGCATGCGTGGAAGGAGGCGCGCCGGGCAGAGCCCCGCCCTGGTCCCAGTCAGCGGGCCCTCGCCGGCCCGTGTTCCGCGCCCGGACAAGGAGGGTGTCTGCCAGCGCCCCACACGTGGTTGTTAGGAGAGCCCAACGAGGCAACAGGTGCTTTGAGAAATGCCAAACACAGGCGATAGGGGCCATTTGGTCTAAAACGCCCTGTTTCCCCTTCTGCTCCAGCTTTGCAGAGAACTCAGGACTTGTTGGCAGAGCAGGGGCTGGGGCCAGCCAGGCGGCTGACAGGCCGAGGGAGTGGCCGCTGGGCAGGCAGTGTGGGTGTTAGGAAGAGCGGAGTCTGTGGGCAGTGCAGCCGGCCGGCCTCGGTACTGGCTTCCTTCTCTGACCAGTCACTCCATCTCTCTGTGCCCGAGTTTCTTTATCTAAACAGTGGGGGTAATAATACTGTTGTGATGATAAGGAAACCACACAGTGAAGACAGAGCCCCTGGAATGACCGGCTCCCATGGGCTTTCAGTCCGTGTTCTTTTGCTCCCTCTTGTCACCTCCCTTTTCCTCGGGTTGGGCTTTTTGGAGGGTTGCTGACCCAGCCGCATCTTATGGGTGCAAGTTCATCAGAACTTGGGGTGGCAGGGGGCCTTCTTCAGGTGGGTAAGGGTCTCTGTTGGCTGCTGTTGGGCGCAGGTATATTATTGATACTGTATTGAAGGGGTCTCCAAGACCACCGGCACATTTGGAGATTTGCTGGAAGTACTCACAGGACTAGCATAGAATCGTACTCATAACTCAAGATTCATCACAGCAACAAAAACGCAGCGACACCTGTGTGCAGGTGACTCTGAAAGCAAACTCATCAGAGACTCAGCACACGAGACCTACTGCTGGGTGCTGGAACTGTAAGCACCCTCTGCTGAGCACATGCCCCCGTACCAGGCTCCCAGAAGGAAAGCAGGTGTTCAGCATAAACCATATTTTCACAGAAACAGTGGCCACAGTGGTCACAGTTCCCTGTTGACTGGGGCTGAGGGTCACCCTCCTGCGGCGGGCAGCCTCGGGCCCGCTGGGCCAGCCTGTTTGCGCAGATGCTAACCCACATCCATTTAGTAACTTATAGTCTCTTAAGGCTCCTTTCCAAGCCGAGGTTCATCTCACAAGCTGTTTGTGAGGAGGATGAGTTCAGAGAGGGGGAGTGACCTTCCTAGGGTCACACAGCCCGGTCTTGCAGACTCTGGGTCTTTGCCCCTTCTACCTTGTGCAGCCTTGGGAAGCCAGCTCTGGAGGGACATTGTGCTTAGAGGCCCCAGAACGTGTCTGCATCCATCCTTCCTTCTGGCCCCTCCCTGCCTCCTGCCCTGGCCCAGAGCAGTTTCTGCTCCTGGTTCTATACAGCTGTGAGTTGTGCAGTGGAATCAGCCCATTCTTAGCTACCACGAGTGATAGTGACCTTGTCCAGGCGTCCAGCTCACTTCTTCCTTTGCTCCTGGAGAGAGAGAACTGCCTCCCTGGCTTTGACCTGCCCCGTCAGTGCAGTGAGCAGTCGCAGGGGAGCGGACCCCACGTGTGAGGCCTGCAACTTGCTCTGCGTTCGTGCTCTTCGTCATTGTCTGTCTGTTCGTCCTAGACCAGAGTCAGCCACCCAGGCACACCAAGGAGGTGTTTGGTGCGGGAAGACCCATCTCACCGTGGTGTGTGTCTGAACAGGACCTAAAGTTTGCCTGCTGCTCTTGTCCCTTTCTTGGCCCAGCCTCTAGGTAGAGAGGAGCCTGTGAGCGGCCTCTTCTAAGACCTGGCTTCTGGGACTCAGCCGCTCTGTCCTGGCTGAGAGTGGCTGCCTGCCTGTCTCTGTCCCCTTTGTAAATCCCAGGAGAACCGAGGCGGGCCTAGGTGCTCCAGCCCCGAGGGAGTGCTGAGTCTCTCGGGACCGTTGCCGGATGGTGGCACTCAGTACACCTGTAAGCGGCCCAGTTGGTGCAGTTGGCCCGGCTGGTGGGATCACCATGAGAGACCCATGAAACCCCATTTTCCTACAGAGAAGGGGGAGATCATCAAGCGCCGCTGGCTGCCTCCTTTCTCAGAGCCGCGTTGGAGTCTGCAAGGAGCACCTGTAAACTGCAGGAACAGAGGAGGCCCTTTACTGTGATCCAGGGACTGGGAATGTCTCCTGGGCACCTGTGGGTGTGCCCGGCAATAAAGGCGCTGCCCTGCTTTGCCCCAGGCCCCGGGGAAGGGTCTCAGGCCAAAACAATTCTCACCCAGTGGGAGGGAAGCTTTCGAGTGGGAAAGGGGGGCGGGTCCCCTCGTGCCAGTCTGAGCCCAGCTTCACTTAACTACTTTATCAGCTTCTTCCAGGTTTTAATTATTTCAGTTCCCAGAGGTAGAGCGTTCTCAGAAAACGAACTGCTTTTCTGCTAACTCATTCTACTCGTTTATCTGCCTGGAACAATGCACAGAGTCTGAGGTAGACACTGCCCCCCCCCCCAGCTGCACTGACCCTGACTGCCCTGCACCCCCCCCCACATACACCAGTGGAGTAGCAAAGACTCGGGGGTCCTGAGCTCTGCTAGTTCTTCCCCTAAACTGGGAGCAAACTCGGACCTTCCGACTTCTGTCTCATGTCTTCATTAGTTTTACCTGAGAATGGACCATTTTAAGTAAGAACTTTGAAATGCTAGGAATAGGTGTTTTCCATCTTAAGCCCAGGGTAAGAACAGGATGAGCTGGCGTGTCACCCTGGGTCACCCTGGGTGACGGTCCATCGAGGCGCTTCTCAGCTGTCTGATCACATGTTGGTGGGTTCAGGGGCTATGCTTTAGCTTCCTGGAGAGGATCAGGTTGTAACTGGGGGAGCCGAGGGGCCCGCGGTCCACTCACAGATGTCCCGGTGCGCCTGGCACTTGTCCTTCCCTTTGGGACTTCTTTTCAGTGTGTTCCCTTGTGCTTTATGTTAATACTGAACCCTAAGCTCTGAGCCCGAATTGGTGGGTAGAGCCATTCGATCCGTTCTGTACCTGCTTAGTGCTGCTTGAAGCGGGCACTGTTCTAGGCTGAAGGGCCAGGCTGGGGGCCAAGTGGAGCAGAACCTGCAGAAGCCATTCAAGGCTGCTGCACTCTGAAAGTCTCCAGAGTTGAAAACTCCTCCAGCAGCTTCAAACAAAAGCTTCAAACAAAACTCACAATGTGCTAGTATTCCCAACCCATTCATGGGGCCACTTCGGTCAGCTCCGAAGGGGCCTGTCTGGCTGCTGGAGGGCTCCCAAGGCAGCCTGGGCCCAGGTACCTGCGGAGGCACTTTCTCCCCGTGGGCCTGGCCTGACCTGGCTGTAGGAGTCCACCGCGGACTTGCAGGCTAGATTGATGAGGGAAACCACGATGGGCCTGGTGTCTGAAGTCCCACTGCAGGTAGACTTGGTCTCCACCTACCCCAGTTAAACCAGGGTCGGGGGAGGCGTGCCAGGCAGGGGGTGTGGAGTGGAGGTGATGAGTCAGGAGAGGTGGGGGCTGGGAGGGGCCTCGCTCCCAGGATGTTTACTAGTTGATCCAGCTCAGGAAGCAATTTCCCAACAGCCCTGGGAGGGTGGACCTTTATGAGGGTCTGAATTGGTCTGGGCAGCTGTAGGAACATCAAACGCCTGGTTTTGTGCTAAGAAAACCGAAGTGTGTCCTCTCCCTTCCATCTCCCGCGGTGACGCCCATGAGCAGGAGCTCGGACGACCAGCCTGTGTTTCTGTCCCCTTTTTAACTTTGCACCTAATAGAGAAACCTTTTATTTGGGACTCCCTTGGCCTCCATTCCTTGACCCCAACATTCGTGGTCTACCAATGATTCCCAAGATCCAAGCACCCACTCATTATTTTGAGGCATAAGACAGGCCCAAGGGAAGCTACCCTGACTGACGTTAGGCTACAAGCCGAACCTGCACAATGGCAGAGTCCGGTGAAGCCTGGTGGACCAGAGCCAGGCTGGCTGGGTTAGCGTCTCAGCTCCCCAGTCGCCAGGCGTGTGACCTTGGGCAAATCACAGAACCTTCCTGTGACTCAGTGTCACTGTCTCTAAAATGGGGTCGACAGCAGCACCTCCCCCCAGGGCTGTGGGGAGAATTAAATGAGTTAGTCCATCTACAGTGCTCAGAGTGGTGTCCAGCACATGGCAAACAGGCCCAGAAAGTTGTTTCGTTCTCCTTCCTCGTGAAGTGAGGGTTGGACCACCCGAGGCCTCCCAGGGTCATCCGGAGGCTGCAGCCCACCCGTAAGACTTCTGTTTCTCTGATGGGGCTTTTGTTAAAGATGAATTAAAATGCCTTCAGACCGGGCCTGGAAGTTTGCCCATCTCTGTCTCTCCCTGCCACTTACTGTGGCCCTTCGTGGAGATACAGGAAGTCACCCAACTGGCCCCAGCAGGCATTTGCCACGTATTCCCCTGGAGACAGCCTCTGGGGTCTGCACTTCTGACCACCTCTCCCAGGAAGGCGCCTCGTGCTGCACGAGCGCCTCTAGTGGTGGGGAGGGGCCCTCACCGTTCTGTTGCAGCCCTTCTCATCCTTCTGCAGAACACGGGGCTCGGGCTTTTCTCACTGCACCTGAGGCCCTGTGCCCCGTCCCCACTGAACAGGTCCCTCCTTCCCAGCCTCCTCCCAGAGCCACTCCAAGGCCAGGGCCGCCGTCTGGACGCAGGAGCATCCTGCGGTCCCATCCGCCTCCAAACCTTCTCTGCCTGTCTACCAGCCATGCTGAAAGAATGCTGTGTACGGAAAGGAAAAAAAAAACTTTAAAATGGGAAAAATTTTTACTTTAAGTTAGCCCAGTGTCCAAAAAAACCCACACGAACCAGTTGCGGGTGGTTGCGTAGGTAGACTAATTCAGCCGTTGGACCTGGGGCACCCTGTTCACCATCCTCAGGGCCAGGAGGCGCTGCCGTGGCACCTGCTGAGGAACGAGTCACCCCAGGAGGATGTGACCCACTGTCATCGGGGACAGGCGGGCACTCGAAGCACGAGCATCTCGGACTGGGTTTGTCTGCGTAGGGCCCTGCATAGACGTGCTCTAGACACTTAACAGGTGGAACTGACTATCGCGTGTTAGCGTCTGAATTAGGAACAGGTTGTGTTTTGCTGGCTGGGCAACAGAAACTTGGTCCCTGGTGACTTGATGATTTCACGTCAATGAGCTTTTTTTCTTTAAAAAATATTTTATTTTTTAGAGAGAGGGGAAGGGAAGGAGAAAGAGAAACATCAGTGTGTGGTTGCCTCTCATGTGTCCCCTACTGGGGACCTGGCCTGCAATGCAGGCTTGTGCCCTGACTGGGAATTGAACCGGCAACCTTTTGGTTCGAAGGCCAGCACTCAATCCACTGAGCCACACCAGCCAGGGCAGAGCTTTTTATCATGGCTCAGTGTCTGAGGCCAGCAGAGGCTGGGAGAGACCAGTGGGGTTGCTATGGCAGCAAGGAAGCTTCTGCTGGGGATTTTAAATTGGGGCTCCGCTGGCTCAGAGTGGTGAGGAAAGACTAGATGATTAGAGAAGCAAAGTTATCATACAGCCGTGCACCCCGGTGGTTTCAGGGCTCATTCACGCACCCGTATTAGGACGGACTGGACAAAAGGGACATTGCAGCCTGTTGGGCGAGAGGCCTTTCAGCATCACACGGGTAGGCTGGGCGCAGCCTTGAGCTTTCACGTAGGACCCCCGCCCCCTCACCCTGCCCGCCCGTGTCCTGACCAACTTCTGCTCATCTTCAGGTTTAAGGTCTGTACTGATGGAGGTCCTCCCGGACCGCCCACTCCTGCTGTTTGCTAGTGGCCCCTCCCCCACTTCACTGGACTGATGACGTAGGGTCTGCATCCTCTCCACACAGTGTCCGCGTCTGTGGCACCCGCCCCAGGGCGGGGGCCCCGCCACGTGGAGCAGTGGGTGCTCGGGCGGGCTGGGGACTGAGAGCTGCGGTGTGTGGTTTTCTGGAGACCATGCTGAAACCCCCAGCTTCCTGCCTTTCTGGGCCTGACTCACTGTGTGCAGTGACCACTGGGATGTTTACTTACCTCTCAGAGCCATTAAGGGTTTGGTTTAGTTAAGCCAAAACTCTCCACGGCTTCCCGTCAAACACTCGAGTAGTACTCAGAGTGGCGAATGTTGACATATCTTCATTCTTTGCTGAGGTAATTGGGCATGAAGTTCAAGAGGCCCAAATGGAAAAGGTCTTCTCTTTGAAAAATAGCAAATGGAGTAAGAGAGATAACCTGTGGTTTAATCAGCCGCAGTCTGTTTTATGTTCCTGCTTTTCAGCACAGTGATAAGCTGGAGTTCAGGATGCGGCCCTGGCACACTGCTGAGTGCGCCTTCTAAAACCCCCTGGGAAGACGGTTACACTCACATTGTGGCTTTTGCTTGGAGAGTATCGTCGAGTCGTCCCAGGCTGTGAAAACTGGGGGTGGTGTGTGCAGTGGGACCCCTCTGTAAGCCAGGCTGTTTGATTCTCTGGGCGTTCTGGCTTCCTGGGCCTGCCAGAGGGGAGTATTTATTATACTTTGAGGATAAGAGAGTGGATTACTACTGGCCACGGTTCACTCTGCCATTGTTCTCTCGTTCCTCTTTGGCTACAGGTGACTTCTCTTGGGAGTCAGGGGACTCCCATCACACACTGACAAATCCAGGGCCCAGCCCTGGTCTGCCTTGTCGTGTGCGTCTGTCTGGAGGCTGGGAAAGTGGCGGGTGTCATCCTTTCCCCATTTCAGTGCCCCTCCTTATAGCACCGGCTCTTGCAGCCCCCACAGGGCAACTGGGTAAAGCCTACACCTTTGCTGTCTGTGTTTGGAGGACTCACCGGTTTTTCTGTTGCCCTTCTGTGTATATAGTTCGGCCAATGCTACCCCTGAATTTGAAGGTCGAGGAGGCGATGACCTTGGCACAGAGATCGCCAACACCCTCTGCCGGATATTCCACAACAAGAGCAGCATCGACCTGGAGGCCCTCTGCATCAGCCCGAGGGAGCACTGCTGGGTCCTGTACGTGGACGTGCTGGTAGGTGCTGCTGCCCGGGGACCAGAGGCCTGCTTCCCTTCCCGACGTGTTTTCCCTCTTCTGGGACACGCTGTCTACTCCCGGGGTGAGATTGGGTGGGAAAAGACTAGTCTCCTCTAACGTTTTTTAAATTAAATGTAACACATATTTAGTAGCCTACACATAGTGCCATCCTACAATAAAGTTACAAGCAGTCCTATCACAGCACCTAAAGTTACCCACCGAGACTGTTGGGAGGAAAACCGAGAAGCAATGGTGCCAGACAGAGGCGAGGGCAGAATTTGGACAAGTTGGCACATTCCGGGTGGATGAGGGCAGAGTAAAGTGACCCCGGGAGGCCAGGTGACCAGCCCGGGAGGTCTCAGCTTGAGGGTGGTGGTACTATTAGTCCTCAGAGCCAGGCCTTGGGCCAGAAAGTGCCAGTGCCTGCTCATGACCTTGCTAAGTCACCTTCCCATGAAAACACCCTGCGACCCACCTCCTCTGAGCCCCTGGGTTCCCGGGTGTGGACCTCGAGGCCCCGCCTCCCCTCCCTCCATAGTCTGCTCCTGCAGGGAGCAGCAGTGGGGTGGACAGGGGCGGTTTGCAGTCTGGCTGATGGTCAGGACCCCCCAGAGGCCGGAGTACAGCACAGGTCCGGGGCCTCGTCCTGGATTTTCAGTGGGCTCCCTGGTGATTCCGACACCCAGCCAGACTCAGGAGCCAGGAGGTGCATGTGGATGAGGACACACAGTAGGGAACCACACTCCTTCCTCAGTGTGAGCCTGGCAGGGCTGCAGTGTCGGGGCCACCATTTCTCACTCGTTTGGCAGCTGGACGCGTGTTAGCAAAGACGATAGTAACGCATGCAGTGCCACTGGGGCAAAAAAAAAAAAAGGTGATCAGTTTCTCCTTCAGTGCCGGTCCCCCCGGCTGGAGGAGACCCACCCGTTAGAGGCCTGAGTGTCGGTACCACGGCCACGCGTGGCCCGAGGAGCGCCGCCACAACAAGGCACAGCCCACAGTGAGGGCGGCCGCGAACACTCGCCTTTGCCTTCTCCACGCGTGGTCAGCATTTCTCGGGAACCGGTGGCCTTCGATTGGGAGGCCACTTAAGTAAGACGTGACGCTTTTCCTTCCTGCTCACTCCCTGTCTGCCTCAGCTGCTGGAATGTGGCGGGAATCTGTTCGACGCCGTCTCCATTGCCACGAAGGCCGCTCTCTTCAGTACGAGGTGAGTCGTCCTGGAAGCAGCCCCGGGGCCGCGGCCCGCCTCGTGGTGGAACGCGGGGAGGTCTCTGCCCAGGCTCTGGGCGAGGGTAGCGAGCAGTTCAGCATTGAAAGGGGTGGTATTTAATGGGAAGCTCCAGAAAACAGATTTCAGCAAGTAAAACTAAATCTGCATAGATTTCTGTATTTTTTCTTATATTGTTATTTTCATAAGTGAACGTGTACCATGTAGACAGATAGTAGGAAACTGCAAAAAGCAAAAAGAGTAGAAACCAAGTTCAGGTCAACCGTCCGAACGCTGCTCCCGGACAGAGCCCCCGGGGCGGGGGTGTCGCCAGTCACCACCACTGGGGCCTGACGCGCAGGTGCCCGCCTGGTCCTGCACTGGACACCTGAGTGTCCAAGAGCAGGAAATGCTTCTGCCTCTGCGGTTCAGCTTCCCTGACAGGTTGCACGGCCAGGGGCGAGGCACTGACCTCTCTGGGAGCTGGCGTTGCCTCAGTTTCCCCCACTCTGTGCACCGGGTTCTCTGAGGAAAGTCTGCAGCATTTGAAAATAAACGTGTGGCCCAGCCCTGGCTGGTGTAGCTCAGTGGATTGGACGCGGGTCTGCAAACCAAAGGGTCACCAGTTCGATTCCCAGTCAGGGCACCTGCCTGGGTTGCAGGTCCCTGGTAGGGGACACATGAGAGGCAACCACACAGTGATGTTTCTCTCCCACTCTTTCTCCTTCCCTTCCCCTCTCTCTAAAAATAAATAAATTAATTAAATTAAAAAATAGTAGAAAATAAACACATGGCCCAGTTGGTTAGAGTGTCACCCTGACCGGTCAGGGTTGCGGGTACAGCGTCAGGACACATGCAGGTAGCGACCAACGATGCGTAAATAAGGGGAACAACGAATCGATGTCTCTCTCGCCCTCCCCCTTCAAAATCAGTAGAAACTGCAAAAAGGAAAGAAAGGAGACGGGGGGGTGTTCCTTCCACAAGAGAGCTTAGGTTCGGTCGTGGGGAGCCGAGGTCCTGGGACACGAGGGGGAGAGGCTCCCAGGGGGGCAGCCTGCGGAAGGGAGGGGTCGTCCGCGGCGCACTGGCTGCAGCCTCGCCGTGGAGAGGGACGGGCCGGCCCGACGTTGCGACACGGGGGTTAAAACCGACCCGGCAGCACGTTTAGAGATTGGTTAATACCGAAAACCAGCCACTAAGTGCGGTCCTCCCACCCTGTTTCATGTTTGCTTTGTCATACGTTACTTTTGCTGATTCTTGTATTTAATGTCTGGAAATATAGACACGTATATCCCGAAATGTCACTGACGAGCTTCCAGTGCTCACACTATGGATGATTTTGCATTTATCTGTATTTTGGAGTTTTCTTCTTGTGAATTTAGACTGGCTGCATAATTTAAAACAAACGAAAACAAAGCTCAGTAAATTCGGGTCAGAAGTTGTGGGATGGAAGATTTGCCAAGAATGACAGCTGCAGAGTCCTCACCCGGAGCAGGGCCCTGGACTCTTGGCCGAGACAGTCGAGGGTCTGGCACTGGCGGCCACCGTGGGGCTCTAGTGCCAGGTGCCGCAGCCGTTGCCTGGGCCTGGCTCCCTTGGAGAAGAGGGGAAGTTGCCATCTGTTGCGTCTCAAGCCTCAGAAATCACACCCCGTCTGCCAGCTGGTTTCCGTGGGCACTGGGGCAGACAGAGTAGAACCAGCTGAGGCTTTTGGGCCCGGGGCGTGGGGGGTCGGGCAGATGGTCCAGCAGGATGATGGATGCCAGCTGCTCGGGTTCAGGAGCACATCTGCCACGGGCCTAGCCCTGCGGGCAGCAAGGAATGGGGACGCTGCAGGGCACTGGGCCCCCCAGCTTGCGGAGAGACCTTTTGTACGGTCGGGGTCCTTTAGAAGGGTAGCAGCCAGGCCCCAGGTGGTATTCTCCAGCCCTTCTACCGATCCACGCTGCGGCCGAAGGGTTGGGAAGGTGCGTGTGTTCATGTACATCTGCACGCTGGTGCTTATTTTGTAACACACAAAATCCAGACCGCTCACCTGATCTGTTCAGACAGGATCTTGCTTAGTACTCGCACCCTGGGGGCCCTGGCAGGGCTCCTTGGTCCCTGTGAACAGTCTCTGGCTTCAGTTCTTCCCTGGTTGTTGGCTTGTGTAGGGATAGGACAGGGCTGGATCATACAAGGGCAGGGGGCCAGAATTTATTTATTAAAAACTGAATTCTTACATGTTCAAACTTCAGTCACCTTCAAAGAACTCTCTGTCTGATGAAGCACACCTATCGAGATGTTTTTCCACTGCTCAGAACAGTCTTTGAATTAGTCGATGTTGATGCCTTTTAGTGCTTCTGCTGTTTTTGTCTCACCTCTTCCACATCGGCAAAACATTTCCCTGAGGACTTTTTTCATCCGGGGAACAAAAAAACATCACTCAGAGAGATTGGGTGAGCAGGGAGGGTGGGACACGGGGGTCATGCCATTTTTGGTCAAAAACTTCTGAACGCTCAGTGCAGAGTAGGCAGGTGCACTTGTAAATCACCCATCATGAAATGGGCAAACTCATTGCAAGAGTCTTAAAAAAAATTTCAGTGAAGCCAAATGCAGCCTCTCACAACAGCGCCAGCTGGTTCACTGATGCAGATGGGTTCCTGGGACACTCACCTAATGGGGGAAGCCTGTGCTACAAGGGGCCCACCCTCCAGAAGATCATTCCGTGTTTTGGGGGTCCCCCACCCCGGGTAGAGGCTTTTGTTAGAGGAACAGGGAGATCCTCTGACACCGCTTCCGTTGCAGACGCCCGTTCCGCTCCTGGCTCCTCCACCCTGGACTGGCACACTCTGACTGCGTGGGTTAAGTGTACCAGTTCAGGAAACAGCGTTGCCCGTGCCCCCGGCAGTGACCACACTCTGGAGGGCAGCCGCTGTCCTAGAGCAGTACGTTGGTTTTGTACGTGACACGAGTGTTTTCTCTCGTGTGTCAGCCTCATCCGCTGGGTGGGAGGTTCTGAGGCACCTGTGTTGCACCCCGAGCCATCGGTAGCTGTTCACCGTGTGCCGTTCTGTGTGTGAACGTGCCGCGGTTTGCCCGGTCTGCCGTGGTCGGGTGGACGGCGGACGGGTGTCCGGGCCGTTGCGGGCAGCGCTGGACACGAGCCTTTTGTGCGTGTCTTCTGTGTGTGTGTTTGTGCGTTTCTTGGACAAGGTGACGGTTCTGGGTCGGAGGGCGTGGCCGTGTTCACTTTCAGTAGATTTTGCGAGGCCGTTTTCTGAAGAGCTTTTGTGAAACCACCCCCACCAGCAGTGTGTAAGCGTGTGCGGGGTGCTCTGGTCTTCTTAATGTCAGCCACTGGGGTGCGGGTGCCCTGGGATCACACTGCAGTTGGGAGTCGCATTTCCCTAGTGAGTATTTACGTTGAGCATCTCTGTGTGTCTATTGGCTACTGAGTAGCCTCTTATCTGAAGGCTCCGATCAAGTCCTTTGCCCATTTTCCCCTCGAGTCGTCTGCCTTTCATGTGTAGTCGAAATTCTTTATGTAAAATGTCAGCTTATACACACATGTAACTATTTGTTTCACTCTGATTTATCTTTTAGTATCTAAATGATGCCTTTTGACGAACAGAGTTCATAATGTTAATCCGTACCATAACATGTGTAATACGCACTATACAGGTATTACGGGTGCGCATTTCAGTGACAGTGTAGTTGAATCTGCCATTTTTCCCTTCGTGGTAAGCACTTTGTGTCCTGTTTATGAAACCTTTGTCCACTCCAAGGTCATGAGGACGGTCTTAGTCCTTTTTCTGAAAGCTTTACTGCTTCATCTTTCGCCTTCACGTCCGCAGTGTGTTTGGTGAGAGGCAGGGATCGAGACTCATTTGGGTATTGGATTGACCAAAATTATTTTTATTTACTTATTTGTTTATCTATTATTGTTAGTATTTTTTATCCTTATCCAAGGACATTTTTTCATTGCTTTTAGAGAGAGAGGAAGAGGAAGAGAGAAATATTTGTGTGAAAAAGAAACATCAATTTGTTGCCTTCCATACACACCCAGACTGGGGATTGGTGCCCGGACCAGGGTTCATAGGCGTCGGGACTGGGGGCCTCCCACACCAGACCAGGGATTGAACCCACAACCTAGGCATGTGCTCTGCCTGGGGATTGAACCCTCAGCCGTTTGGTTACCAGACAGCGCTCCACACATCTGAGCCACACTGGCCAGGGCCCAAACGTTATTTCCGACAAGACCTCCTTTCTCATCGCACTGCGTTGTCACCTGTGTGCTTTTGACGGCAAGGACAGGGAGGGCAGGCACAGCGCGACACTGTCTTGTGAGGGACAGGAATCCTAACTCCTGTCCTCAGTCTCAAAAACAAGCAATGACCTTTCAGTAAGATGGAAGTTTAATTGCGCTTTTGCTTCCAGGATACCAAGAGTCCGTGTTCTGGAGGATGAGGAGGGGTCGAAGGACATCGAACTGTCGGATGACCCTTACGACAGCATCCGGCTGAGCGTGGAGAACGTCCCCTGCATTGTCACCCTGTGCAAGGTGCGAGCTTGTGTCTGATGGCCGCTGTCTTCCCCGCGGGTCCTTTCCACCCTGTTACTCAGGTTGGAGAGTTGTAGTTTCACCAACTGCGGGGAGGTGGCTTTAACCCGAATCCAGTAGCTGGTCCTCAGAGACCACTCCAGGGGGAGCCCTTTCTTTTCTTTAAGGTGGGACAGAGAGCCCGGAGCTCACCAGCAGGGGCCGCGTTACGGCAGCCGAGTTTGTGAGGCTCCTGCGCACCAGGCGTTTCCCCAGAACACCCTGCGGGCATATCTCCTCTCATTTTCTCAGCTCTGTGGGGTCCAGGCTGGGAGCATGGCAATCAGGGGGTTGGAGGGCAAATACTGTCCCCTCCGTGGGCCCCAGTGTCCACGTCTGTGAAATGAGGGGTGGGAGCCACTCCCGGTGCCCAGTGGGTGAAGCGTGGTCTCCACGTGGAGCCAGCGTCTGACTGAGGCCGATGTGTAACTGGCTCCTCCCGAGGCCGCGCGGGCAGGTCTGTACTGGCCCAGGTGCTCGCTGATTCCAGGCAGGATTCGGTGTTTAAAAGTAAGACGAGCGTGCCGGGCCTCATTCCCCAGAACTCGCTCTGTAAACCCGGGGTGAGTCGAAGGGCCGGGACCGACCAAGGCCACCTGCCCCGGACTCGCTCCCAGTCTCACCTCTGTGGGCCTCGTGCGGATGTCTCCCTGGGCCCCTCCGCTGGGAGCCTCTGACGTGGGTGGTCTGTGGGTGGTAGTTCCACCCCCCCAGCCCTCATTTCCGTGGCACGCTTCTGTCGTGGCCTACGTGGCAGCCTGCACTGCCGTGGTTGAACACTGCATCAGGTATTTCCCACGGGAGCAGAATCTAAAATCTTGGTCCTGGGGGGAGAGCGCAGGTTCTTTGTGGGTACAGATGTTCTTCCAGGAGGCTGTCCAGGGCAGAGCCCCGGAGGTGTCACTCACACCTGTGCTCTGCTGCCCGGGCTGCAGATTGGCTGTCGGCACGTGGTGGACGCTACGCTTCAGGAGGAGGCCTGCTCCTTGGCCAGCTTGCTGGTGTCGGTGACCAGCAAGGGAGTCGTGACGTGTATGAGGAAAGTGGGGAAGGGCAGCCTGGACCCGGAGAGCATCTTCGAGATGATGGAGGTGAGGCTCTGGGGCAGGGCCAGGGCCTGGCTGGGCGGGCCCGCTGCCTTGCGCCTCCTCGGCCTGGAGGTGGAGGACGGCTGGTGTGGCCGGTGTGAGCTGGAGGCCGGCTGCCCTGCCCGGCTGGTTGCTTATCTCAGTCTCCACTCCCATTTCTGCATCTCCAGATGCCTGTGAACTGCCCATGTGCAGAACCACTTGCAACTCCCAGATCCTAAGTTTTTGTGACTAGATGAGGGGATGGAAGTCAGCAAAGGCGGAGCCAGGGGCTGAGGGGTGGCCGCCCCCCCCACAGCAGTGTGGAGGTGAGGGGAGCGGCAGGCAGCACTCCTGTCAGCCTCGGGGGTGCGTGTCCCTGCGGGTCCCCCCAGCTGCTCTGGGCTCACTGGGGACGTGTCTGCCTTCCTCGCTGGCCCAGACCCCTCTGTGGTGGGGACCAGGTCCTGGCCCCCTGCGTCTTTCTAGCCCTTCCCCATCTACCTCGACCCTGCAGAAGTCTTTAAGGCTTTGACCCTGACAACTGCCTGGCTGGCTGAACTGCCGGGAACACAGTTAGCTAGACTCAGGTGGGGTTTTTGTTTTTATAGAAAACGAGGGGAAGGGAGGGAGAGAAACATTGACATGTGGTTGTCTCTGACACACTGTCAAGACACCTGGCCCACACCCAGGCATGTGCCCTGACCGGGAATCGAACCGGTGACCCTGTGGTTCACAGGCTGGCTCTCAGCCCACTGAGCCACACCAGCCAAGGCCAGGCGGTTTTGTCTTAGATGAGCACTGTAACACCTCACAACGCAGGCCCATAGGTCACTGCTCCCCAGCAGGCAAGGGGCCGTCCGTACCCTTCCTCCATCCCTAGAAACAGTTATTTTCCACTGAAGACTCTGAGTCTTTGATGGCTGTCTTCTCTTTTTATCATCGTATTTAAAGCAAAAGTGGGTGGTGTTATGGGGCCAAGGACGCCAAAGCCCCTACCCAGGCATTGACTCTGGTCTTGCCTGAGCAGTTCAGAGGTCTGCCAGCAGGTGAGCTAGAAACCGCTCGGCGGGGTGAGCCCTCCGCATCGGCACGGTCTGCTCTTCATCAGACAGACCCCGCACACTCTGCGGACTCCCAGCGCCTTCCCCGCGGTTCTCGGCCGCGACCAAGTCCAGGTGTGGGCGACAGTGTCGCCGCTGTCTCGATGGCAGCAGGAACACTAAGCCTCAGTTGAAGGCCGTTGCTGCTTGGTGCCTGGGGGTGGGTGTGGCTGTCCTTTCTTTCCTCGTGTAGGACGAAGGTGTTTCCAGAATGTGGCTATTAAGCGGTTGAGGTGTGCAGTGTGTGTTTGTATTGATCTGTTTAACTAACTACATAAAGGCCCTGGGGGGCAGATGGGAGGGTGCAGGATCGGACGGCAGGCTGGCACAAAGGGGGGCCCCCGCTGGTCAGGCGTGGGCCTCACCGTGCTGCCCTGCGTCCCTCTGTCCTGCAGACCAGCAAGCGGGTGGGCAAGGTGCTGCACACCTCCCTGCAGAGCGTCCTCCAAAAGGAAGAGAGCCTGGGGCCCAAGAGGCAGAAAGTCGGGTTCCTGGGCTGATTCGCACATCGACCCCGTCGCCGGAGTGCTGCTCCCACTTTTTGGTGGGAGCCGAAGTGTGTATGTATTTTTCTTAACTATTACGAATTTAAAGCAACGTTTGTACGTGTGAAATTAAACTCTATTTTCTGGTCTGGTTTGGAATGGCTAGGATTCTTCAAGTGTAAGTCAGGACGCCAGGGTGGCACCTCGAGGGTCTGGCCCTTGTTTCCTCGGGTCCAGAGGCCGCGTCCCAGGCGAAGGGCTCTGGTCGTGGGCCTTCCCAAGGAGACTCACTTACTCCTGCTGCAGGAGTTCAGAACAACAGCAACACACGAGAACAAGGACCTGAGAACAAGGACCCACGAGCTAACTGGTTCAAAGGAAATGCTAATGATAGGCGCTTTGGGATGGTTCCCTCCCCAGAGAGTGTTCAGTGTGACACACAGCAAAACTTCACTCGGCTGTGCCTCTGGGTGCGTCAGGGAGGAGACCGGAGGCGGCGCTGTGCCGCAGGGGTCCAGCCGGGCCCCACCTGGCTGCTGAGCCTTCCTGGGGAAGCCCAGCTCGCTTCCTGCCCTCCAAGACATCCAGGCCAAGCTCCCCAGGGGCGGGGGCCGAGCGGCCACGCTGGTCCTTAGCCAGCTGTTCTTGTCACTCTTGTTTTGAAATTGCTTTGTGTTTTATAACCACTCCCTGGTGTTTTGTAAGTTTTTTTGTTTTGTCAGCATTAACACGGCTGCTTTAGAGATGCCGTCATCTGATTACTCAGCCTGCTTTCACTCTGGGGACGGGGGAAGGCCATTCTTGATGGCCCCGGAAAGCTCTTCTGTAGCCCGTGTTCTACTCCGAGTGCAGCGTGTCGGAGTGGGGTCTGTTCGTGGAGTGAACGGTCTCTGTTTTCTCTGGGGGATCTTGTTCTCCCCACTCGGTCTTAAAGCTCCCCCGAGAGGGGAGAAGGAGCGGCTTCGTGAAGGAGTGTTTTAGCCGTGGCGTTTGCTCTCGGCGTTGTACTTAGACGATGAGGGCGAGGAGTTCCAACTCCACTGCCTCCTGGAGAGAACGTAATGCGGCCCCAGGGGTCCCGGCACGGCCCTCCTCCCGGTGGGACAGCTCCGTGCCTGCGCACAGAAGACCTGCCTGGACTCAGACTTGCAGCCGCTGCCCTGTTGGGAACACAGCCTGGGTTTTCGTTGTTTCCCAATGTTTTCCAGTGGTTGTCCCTCCAGGTGCCACGACGGGCTCCTGGCGACACAGACACCAGCCTGTCCCTCCCCGCCCGCCCCCGGCTGCCTGTACGAGATAGAATGTGGACAGTGGTCAAGAGAAACTCGAATCGGAATAAAGTCTAGAAGCCTTTGGTCTGGGCAATTAAAGACATCAGACAGACGGGCCAGGCTGGGGGAGGCTTTGCCAGGCCTTGTGGAACAGCTGCGCACAGCTGAGTGGCCACAGTGAAAACGGGGGGAGGGGAGAAACACAGGGCGGGGCGGAGGGAGGGTTACGTTCGTGAGTGTGCGAAGCAGTTTATCCTTCTGTTATTATTCACTAGTTGTTGTATGCATTATTTGTTCACACTGCGGATGTCAACCTCCTTTGTCTGCCCCTGTGGGTTAGCGTGTGTCTCTCCCACCCAGACCTTTCCTTGAAAGCCACCCCTTCCTGGGAGAAGGGCACACAGCAGATGAAGCAAAACCCGGGTGGGCGAGGTCTGTCCGGGAGAGGCATTTATCAGAAAGAAACTTCTGATTATTGCAGCCCTCGGAGAGAATACACGAGGAGAGAAAACCGAAGGTAAGGACTTAGAAAGATGGAGTGGCTACGAAATAAACCCCAGGGAGAAGGACCGTGAAGTCGGCCAAAGGGCAAGAGCTTAGGGGTGAGGAGGGGGAGCGCAGGCGTGCAGAGAATGCAGCGTTACGGAATGTGAAAATTCGCTTATTACATTTGTGATCCCTTGGTCTCCCGAGTCATGCACATTCAAGCCTATAAAACACATGGATTTAAACAACTAACAGTTTGCACATTGCTCATAGGCAGTGGTCTCGCACAAACCGCCCACAGAGCATACATCTGTGCTATTCCAAACTTTTTGGGAATGATCTGGCAGTGTGTATGAAAGGCCTTGAGAATGTTCGTTCCCTTTGACCTAATCTTTCCACTTCTGGGAATGAAGAAGTAAATAATTCAAGACACCAGGGGAACTTCTTCAAAATATGAAGAAGTTCATCCCAGTATTATCTCTGCCCCACATAGACCGGGGATTGGTAAAGCGCCAGCCCTCGGGGAGAGGGTTCGGAAAAGCGGTAGGCAGTGGATGCCCGCAGTGGGCCACCTCCGTGCTCAGCCTCGGGCCTGCCGCTGCGGCAGGGCCCGTGCAGGCAGGGGCGGGTCACTTCCTGTGGGCAGAGCCCTGCTTCCGGTGCTTCCCTTCAACCTGGGCATCCAGGTGTGTGCATCCCAGAAATGCTGGAGACTTACTGCCTCTGAGTCAACTCACGACCACGCAGAACGGGAGCCCGTGGGGAATGCTGCTCCATTTGACCGTCGGGCGGACAGTCCTGAGAGAGGAATCCGATTTGCTTGTCTGAACCAGTGATCATGACCCACGATTTCTCCCACTCTCTCTTCCCTGCTCTTCCCCTGCCCCCACTCCCTGTGGGACCACCTCCCAAATAAACTACAGACATGAGCCCTCATCTCAGGCTTTGCTTCTGGGGAGAAGCCCAGACTAAGAGGTTGGTGCTAGTAGTGGCCTTAGAGAGCAGACCCTCTTCATGGGGTTGGGGCACTGGCTCAGTGATTGGCAGCTGACAGCCAAGGCCCCGTGGGTGGCCATGAGTGGGTTGGCGATGAGCCAGGACATCTGATAGCATCATCATCACAGACACTTGCTTGTGGTGGGCTGAGGTCGGGTGGAGGCTCTGCCACACCCAGGAGGCAGTTTGCGGGCCTTACAAAAACAGTTGAGTTGGCTGACTTGGGAACTGCTATGAAAAGCCTTAAGAAAGAAAGATGGCAGGCCCCTCAGCCCACTGTCCACTTGTGCATTCTGACGACCAAAGGCTCAGTGGTCTGGTGTAAAGAGCCTGAGGTGTAGCCACCGGGCAGGACAAGCTGGCACTCAGGCCCAAGGCCAGCTTCTGTGGGAGCAGCACAGCTTTGGGGAGCGAGGGTGCGTCGCCACAGGTTTCCTTCACTGGAGTCAGGCCTGGCATAAAGGCGGGGTCTTGGTCTCTGTCTTCCTCTGAGGGCCTCGGGCAGGCCGGGGAAGCCCCGATCCCTGGTGGAAGGAGAGCAGCCATCTCAAGAAGCACTATGCCACCCACCACACAAAGGCCGTTCCCCAGCCAGGCGCCTCGAGAGGTGGCTGTTTCCCCCACCGCCTTCCAGACCGATACGAGGGTCCAACTGCACCCTGAGCCTGAGCAGGAACACGGTCCCTGCTGTGGGGAGAACTAGACTGCTCATCAAAACGATTGCGAGACCTGGCCTGGTGTGGGCCCAGGAGCAGAGGGGCAGCGGGCCCTGAGGGTGTCAGACCAGTGCCCTGGCTGGAAAGGGGTGAACATCCTGGCAGAGGGGGCTGACGCAGTTCCTGCTTCCCTGCTGCGTCCCCCCAACCCCCACCCAAAGTCTGGACCTGGCGGTCACCCAGAGTTGAGGAGGAGGAGCTGCCAGAACTGAACAAACAGAGAAGGCAACAGCTCTGCTAAGATCTGTGAGAGAAGCGAGGACACAGGGCGAACATCTGCTCCCCAAAGTGAAGTGAAGAGAGCAGCAGACACTCTCACTGACTGAGAGCTCGTCACCAGACCTCGGGATGTGAGCAGAGGTGGTACTCGTTGAAGGAAGGGCAGAGCGCCAGGCCAGCCAGGTTTGGAAGGGAGCAGATGGCCCTCCCAATGAGGGTCTTTGAGGTCACGCTTACAGGCCCTTTGTCCTTGGTCTTGACTAAAGGCCAAGGCTGCCCTTGCCACAGTGTTGGAGACACACACCCTGGAAGCTGCTCCCTTTGAGGAGAGCAGCTGACCGGTCCACCTCCGCAGGCACTGCGTTTCTGCTGACGCAGCGCCAGTGGGGCTAGAAGGGAACATCTGTGGGGGAGGGGACGGCGCTGGGCCAGGAGTTTTTGTGCCTCGTGGGCTGACTTGGGTGGGGTGGCCAGTGCTTGGATTATGTAACTCAGACTGCCAACAGTTTGGAGGGAAAAACACCAAAACGACAACAAAAAAAACTTGAAAACTGAAATGTGCCTTTTAGAGCGCTCTCCTGACTTTTCTGCCTCTGGGACATCAGTGTAAAAGGGCTGGGTCCTGGGTGGGGGTCTGCACCGGGCCGTGTCCTTGAGGGGGGTGACGAGGGAACACTGGCCCGTGCTCACTCTCCTGGCTGAAGCTACCACGCCTGCTGCCCTGCTGGCTGGCAGAGGCCTCGGACCGTGCCAGCACGGCAGGCCTTTCACACCGGGAGGCTGAACTCCACGGACTGCACCAGGCTGCCGGTGGGTCCGCTGCAGGGGCTGAAGTGTGGTTCCCGTGGTGGCCAGGAAGAGCTGCAGGTGGACACGGACCTGGGCATTTAATGGCCGTAAGCTCCCCTCTGGTGACAAGGAGGCATGAGGGCTGCGAAGAGCCCCCGCACCAGCGGCCTGCTGACTAGAGTGTCCGGTCTGACCCCAGCAGGCCCCTGGGGACACGTTCTTCTGTGGGAGCTGCGCAGCCACAGGGGCGACGACAAGCAAAACCCTGTCCAAAGGCAGTTTTCCAGAAAAGTCCAGGAACTACAGGGTCGGAGGAACAGCTGGGAGAAAAGAGGACAGGACCATGGAGAAGAGACAGAAAAGGTGGCCAGTTCCAAGTGGGGGGGGCGGGCCTCTCCCCAACTGCTCCCGATCATGCCAGGGACCCTGGGGAAGGTTTCACCCAGGGGGGGCCCTTCTAACAAGCTGAGCGCCTCAGGGTGGAATCAGCGGCTTTGCAGAGTCGTGAGCCGCTTGTCCCGGGAAGGATTTAAGCCCACAGAGACCTCTGACGGGGTCGGTGGGAAGAGACGTCCGCATCAAGGAGGGTCACCCAGGCAGCCTCTGACGCCCCCCCTCCAACTCAGAGGCCCAGAGGCCGCGGTCACTCAGCAGCTAGAAACAGACGGGTAGACCAGTTCACCAAAATGCCTGTCTGCCTGAAGTGTGCACCTTTAGCAAGACGGCGCTTCGCAGCACACACACCACCCTGGCCCACCTGAGGGCAGGCGCCCTCTTAGACACTGCTCTGAGGTGCCTCGGGCGACATAGGCCAGTTCACGGCGCCTGATGCCCCATTTCCTCCCCGGGTGGCCCGGCATCTCCTGGGCTGTGCAGACCCTTCGCTGGGGGCCGGGCCAGGCTGAGGCTTGAGGTGGCTCAAGCCAAAGACACCTCCCCTGCTGCGATTTCACACGGCGTTTCACAGCACAGGCGACTCCCCAGTGCTCACGGAGGCGCTCTGTGTAGTGTGCACGCCTGTGTGCACACACGCCTGCATGCACACACACCCACGAAGCCTGCAGGTCGGGAAAAACCAAAGACATGGCTCCCTGCCTATGGAAAGGTCTCCACACAAGGCTCCCCCAAGGTGTGAGAGTTCACCTGCCTGCTAAGCAGGAAGGAGTGGGGGTGTGCTCCCAGCTCTCCTGGGGGCTGATGCTGGCAGAGGCTTGATGTCCCCGAAGCCTCTGTGGGCCCCAGGCCAGCTCAGCCGCATGGCCCCCCTCCCCGCCGCCCCACTTCATCCTCCATCTGTGAAGAGAGCCCTCTGCTCAGTAGACTTCCCCTCTGCTCACTGACTCCTATCTGTGGACGAACTTCCCTGTTTCATTGTTACTATCACTATTTTGATGTCCGAATGGTCCCTGATTTGGCCCCTGGACCAAACTCCAAGCTGGCTCGGTGTCATACTGCCACGTCCCCCTCCTTCCTTAAGCTTTGTGGCAGAACAACTTGCCCCAGGATCATTCTCTGCTTTCCCTGTCCAGCTCTGGAACCAGCCATTGCTCCGTGGTGCTCCGTCCCGGTCCGAGGGCCTCCCAGTGACCGCTGGGAGCAGAGGTGCCCATTTCCACCCGAACTCACAGATGCTCTTCCGAGTTGAGGTGCACAGTGGTGGTGTGTGGATAGCTCTGCCCGCACGTCGCGATTCCCCCTCGTGTCCTCCCTGTCCCTGCCTGTCCTGTGCTTCCCCGACCGTGAGACCCCCGGCTTCCACTGCCTTCAGCAGATTTTCTCATTCCCTGTGTGCCCCCGGCCTCTCCCCTCTGGTCGCCCCCGGCCTCTCCCCTCTGGTCGCCTGACTTGGGGGATGTCTGCCTGGTTTCTCCACCGCAGGGCTCCTCTTTCTCCAAGTCATGAATAAGCATTTTGTAGGCACGTAATTTGAGACAGACTATCCCGCTCCCACCCTCCTCCTCACCGGGGTCCCCAAGAAGGCCCCCTCCACCCTGCTGGGCCCCGACAGCCCACACCAGGCCCCCTTCCGGGGACATTCCTTTCTCCCAGCCCCTGTGACGTCTCCCTGTCCCTAGTACACTCACCCCCCCTCAGGACGGCCTGGGTGAGAAGCAGGTGAAGGAAGGGGAGGACTCTTGTTTTCCACCAAGCATGCATCACGTGCGCAGGGGCAGAAACAAAATCAGGGTAACGAACATTCTGACCCGTCAGGCGGCCAGCCCCCAGGTCTCAGAACTGTTCCGGAGCCGCCGTGCTCCTGACATCTGGGTGGCTCAGGTGAGTCCTGCAGCCTCGCTGGGCCTCAGTTTCCTCGACAGTAAAATGGGGAAATGGCCGGACTTCCCTCATGTTCCTGCTGGGAGGCCTCTCTGAGCTAATGCCCAGAACAGAACGGAGTTGCCCAAGGTGTGAGCTCAGGACCATCTTGTGTCTTTCAGAGTCCTAGAAAACAAGGACTGTTGGGGAAGGCCGGCCCGCCCCGCATGCTGGGTGGGCGTTCCCGGGGAGGCCAGGCTCTGTGGCTCCCCGGCCCCCCCTTTGCAGGCTTTTTGTTTTGTTTTGTTTGGGCACGCCCGCGGCCCAGGCTGGGAGGGTTTCCTGGACAGAGGTCCTCGAGGCAGCTGCTGGAGACACGCAGCCCTGTCCCCGGCCGCCGCTGCTCTGCTCTGACCCAGGCGCCGCACAGGCAGCAGCATGGAGCTCTGGGGGGCCTACCTGCTTCTCTGCCTCTTCGCCCTCCTGCCCCAGGCCACCACCGAGCCCCCGTCCCAAAAGGTCAAGAAGTCCGCAAATGTCAAGAAAGGTAAGGAAGGGGTCGGGCCCCTCTTTGTCCTCCAGGGAGCTTGTCACCCTCTCCTTCGCTGGTCGTCAGGCTCATGTCCCTTCTGGATAAGTCCGAAGAGCCAGTGAAGTGAGCCTTGGGGCCTGGGAGGGTTCCCCAATGGCAGGGGTGTCTCGCAGAACTGTCGGGGTCACTGACTTCATAGTCAGAGAGAACTTTCCAGATCATTACAACTGACATCTCCCCCGCTCCCCCCTCTACTTTTTAAAAATCAAACCTCTTGCTGGGCAGTGTGGAGATGCCCAGCCCTCATGGGAGAGAGCCCCTGGGCTCTGCTTTGAAACCTCTGAACCTCAGGTTTCTCAGCCGTAAAACGGGGATCGTGGCATTTGCTCCAAGGGCTGTCGTGAGGATTTAATGACACAACACAGGCGAAGCGCTGGCGCACAGGATGCAGGGGAGTGGGGAGGACCAAGTTCATTCTCGCCTGCAGCACCCTGAGCAAGTCCAATTAATTGCTCAAACTCATGCTGGGACGCTCCAAGCAGCTTTGTTCTGCTCCTGTCACTGCTGGGGCTTGGGGTGTCCTTGGGTCGCCTTGGCTGCAGCAAGGCCTGCCCTTGGAGCCAGGCCTGCAGTGAAGTCACCTCAAGCTGTGTTGAGACAACATCGGCGAAACACCATGGCAATGAACCGGACCGTCACCCCCACTGGGCTCAGGGGCTAGGAGAGTTCCAGGCGGAGATGCAAGCGGCCAGGTCCGCAGCACAGAAAACCCAGAGCGAGGAAAGTGGGCATGGGCCGCCCTCAGGCCCCTCTCTCAGCCTCCTCCGTCAATGAACAGTTGCCATTGGCCATGAACTAGTGAAGTACGAAAGGTGGTCCAGGACCAGGGAGCCCCGCAGCACAGCGACAAGGGGTGAGGCAGAGCTGATGGAAAATAACCTCCAAGGTTCGGTTTATAAAATGAACCAAGAAAAGTTCAAAACAGAATGGATGTTATACTGACATTTGCTTTGAAGAGAGGATTTATGTGCAAATACATACTTGCATACATATATTATTTTTCTGGAAGGATTAACGAGTAACAGCAATCGGCCCTGGGAAGAAAAACTGGGTCAGCCAGAGATGAGGCATGCAGGGGTGGGGCTCAAGCAGCTGGAACTCCAGGGGCCACGAGGCCACACCTGGCCAAGGAGCTCAGAGGGGCAGGGTGGCCTCAAAGAGCAGCACAGGCCCTGAGAACAGAGACGGGGGGGACCTGGACGATACCCACTTTCCTGAGCCTCTGAGACGGGGAGGGGGCGGGGCAAGGGCCTCCCAGAGCTGTGCAGAGGCCGCTCCGCCCTCACCTTCCTCGGGTGGGGCACCGTTAGTGCCTCGCTCCTTGGCCAGTCCCCGGAGGGCCCTTGCACACGCAGGCACCCGCATGCACATCGCAAAGGTGCCCCACTGAAGTGGCAGCTTGCAGAAAGGCACCCGTCTGTGGTCTCCCCCAACGGGGACAGCGGAGGGCAAGGCTTAGGTCTGGACAAGCACCCCTCCTTGTCCCCTTAGCCAAGTGCCTTGTGCAGTGCCCAGTTCGCACCACCTCTCGTGGCCCCCGGTGGGCGCCTCACGTGACTGGGGACAGAGTGGATGGGACCGGCTGAAGCAGAGGCCCAGCTTGCACAGAACCCTGCTGGGTTGTCTTCCCAGCCCCAAACCTCCTTTCTCAGCCTCACTCATCTGGGCACCATTTTCCTCATATTTAGTAAGTCGCATCATTTAGTTGATTTCAGTAAACACAAGTATGCTCTCGCTTGCTTCTGTTTACTGTGATTCCCCTGTGAAGCCATCTTATGGATGGACAGACCCGACTCCAACTTTGCCCCCATGCCTGTAGACGGACATCGTGTGGCCCCAGCCAGACAGACCATGGAAGCCCTTCCCCACCCTCTGTTCCCCGCTGGGCGCAGCCTTTCCTGAAGTCCCTGGGGTCTCGAGAAAGATGGGTCCACCCACAGAGCTCTCAAATGACACACACGTGTAGAAAGACTCACGGGTGGCTGGCTCCCGGCATGAGGCCAGCAGGGCCCGGAGCTCACGTTAGGAATCTGTGCACCGGGAGAGGCAGGGGAGATCAGGCTTGGAGCCCGGGGCTGGGACCCGCGGCTCGGACCAAGCCTGCCTGCTCCTGGCTCTGCGATCTTAGGCGAATGGCTTCGGTCCAGTCTCGGTTCCTGTCTGAGAGTCTGTGGAGCGGTGGAGTAGAAACCCCCCACTGCCCAGGTCACAGGGCTGGTGACAAGCCCGGCACTGTCCACACGCTTTGTTTCTCTCAGTCTCTAGTCTGCAGAGTCCTCGGAGGTGGGGCTACTACCTCCCTGTTTCACAGATGAGGAAACTGAACTCAGGGAGGCTGAGCAACTTGCTCCAGGTCACGCACATCCACATGAGCCCACGCGCACACTTACCTGCGCCGCCGCACTGGGTCCCAACCTGGAGCCCCCCTGCTTTGCCGATCTGCGTCTGGTCCCTCCAGCTCAGGGAGCTGGACTGGGGAGGTCTCCAGGGCCCCCAGTCCTGCTTCCTGTGCTCCATCCTCTTCAGGACCTGGGAGGGTGGTGGGATGGTGGGGGCTCACTGGAGACTCTGCCTGCATCCCCAGCCCAGCCCCTGCCAGTCCCAACACCGTGGGGTCCCCAGCAGCATCCCTGAGCAAAGGCAGTACAGGTCTCACCGTAGTCGGAACACGGGGATCAGTCTTCCTGGCAGGAGATTCCTGAGCAATTACTTCCACTGTCACCAGCAGGAACAGAGAGAGACACACACACCAAGAGGTTGAGGTCGAGGAGAATGGATTCCCCTGTCCTTTGTGGTTTTGAGGGAGGGTCCACCCCACCCCGCCCCTCCCCGCCCCTCCCCGCCCCAGTCCCTGCTGCCTTCCACACGCGTGTGTGATCATCCGGGTCCTTCCGACTTCCTCCTAGATGTCGTGAGCCCGAAGATGTTTGAGGAGCTCAAGAGCCAGCTGGACAGCCTGGCCCAGGAGGTGGCCCTGCTGAAGGAGCAGCAGGCCCTGCAGACGGGTGAGTGCAGGTGGCCGCCTTTCTGGGCAGTCGGGCACCAGAGAGAAGGGCTCGGGGGCAGCCGGCAGTGCTCCTGTGGGCTGCGGCCAGCACCAGGGCCTGGCTGGCTCCGGGAGGCCAGCCCTGTAGGCCAGGGCGCCCGGCTCAGGGAGGCCCCTGCTCAGTCTGATGCCTCTTGGGGAGACCCCCTGACATGGGGGAGTGGGAGTGTCCCCAAGGACAGAAGCTCTCCCACAAGAGTCCGTCATCACCCATGGGAAGTGGACCCCCTGGGGCACTCTGTGGAGCAGAGGTGGCAGCCCGCCCTAATGAGCCCCCAGGAGACCCTCTGCCCACCAGGCCCTGCAGGCCCCGCCTCCACCCCTCCCCGTGTGTCAGAAGTTTCCTAATCACCTCTCATCACCATAACCCTGCCGAAGCAGGACTTGTCCCATGTTAGAGACGGGGGAGCTGAGCCATAGAGAGGTCTCATTCCTCGCCCACCCTCACCCCCGGGCTGTCTGGTTCAGCTTAGGGCCCGCGTGGGAAGCAGCCTGCCCACTCAGGCTTGGCCGGCGGCCTCGGCGAGCGGAGCCTGGCTCTGCGCTCTGCTGCCCTGCCTCCCGGATCACCATCTGGGAGGCCCCGTGGCGCTTCCTTAGGAAACCTGCAGACCTCCCTGTGCCCACAGCCACTCTCTCACCTGCGCCTTCTCTTACCTGGGCACCTTCCTCTCCAGGCCTCGGGTCCTGCCCTCCCCTCCTGTCTCCTCAGAAACCTCCAAATCCTCTTCAGTGGGCAGTTTTCACACACACCCTCCTTCTTTTCTGTCAGCGTTCACGCTGCCATCCTTCCATCCCTGCAACATGTCACCGCACTCCGTCCCTCCACCACAGGGCCTTTGCACACGCCTCTCTGGCGGCCTGAACGGCTCCCCCAAGGCCCACATAAGGAACACCTGCAGCATCACCATCTCAGTCTCTGATCCCTCTTCTCGATCAGGCTCCTCAGTTTCAAGCTCTCGCAGAAGAACATAAAGGAAAGAACATCCTTTATCTGATTTATTGCCATTCATGACGTTATATTCATCTGCCCAGAAACACAGGGGCCGTGTTTGCTTCCAGCTGCCCTGGTCTCTCCCCGCGCCCTGCCCGGCATAGCGCCGGCCACGTAGCAGCACTCGGGAAACCTTTGCTGAAGGGAGGAAGGACAAACATGCGACTGGACAGCTTGCTTAGCCCAGCAGTCGGGAGAGGGGGCTCTAGATAGGGAGTGTCTGCCTCATTTGGCTTCAAGTATTGAAAGCCTAACTGCAGCTGAAACAAAAAGTGAACGTGGACGTAGGCGGCTGCTTCTGTTCAGAAGCCACACTGCCTGGTTCCAGGGTAGCGGGCCCAGTGCCAGGCGCCTTGAGTGCATTAAAGGCAGGAAGGAGGGGGACCAGCCACCTTGGTCCCGTTCATCAGGAAAGTCAAGGTGTTCCACGCCCAGCCTCTCAGAGCTCTGTTGCATGACCACCTGTAGCTCCGATGCAAGAACGAGCTTTCGTGGTGGAGGCAGACAAGGAGGGCGGAGTGGGGAAAGGGGTCGGCTGGGTCAGCCACCCTGTCTGCACGAGCACAGAGCCACCCTGGGCCTCAGTTTCCTCATCTGTACAGTGGACGGGGCGGGGAGAGATTTGCAGGACTAGCTCGAAGGTCCCTCTCACGTCTGAGCTTCGTGCTCCTGCAAAGTCCATGTAACCCAGCTGCCTCTCCCCACCGCCCCTGTGAGTGAGGCGACGTGGTGGGGACCTCCCCGCACGAAGGCCATGGCCTGTGGAAATCCCAGCCCCTCCCTCTTTGCCGATTCCCGGAGGTTCCTGGTCTCCTGGCCCCCCACTCACCCTCTTCTCCACTACCCAACCTGTGGATCCCCCTGTCTGTGATCTCCCCAAAGCATACCTGAGCCCTGTTGGCCTGGCCAGAGAGTTGAGGGGCAAGGGGAGCACCTCCCCTCCTGCCATCCACCCCTTTTCCCTCCCAATCAGCAACCACATGTGAGCCCCCCCCCATGCATTCCCCTTAAAGGATGTGTAGAGAGATAAAGAGGGATGGCAGGCAGGGCACAGGGTTGTGAGCAGGGCACAGCAACAGAGTGCTAGCAGTGGGGACAGGCACTGAGAGCCACCTTCACGGGGTCCAGCTCTGTGACAGGTGGCGTTCCCAGACAGCAGCCCTGAGAGGGAGTTCAGCCTGCAGCAGGTCTACTCGGGAGTACCGTTAGGATGTGCTCCTGGGGAAGAGGGGACAGAAGGAAGCAGGAGTGGACAGGGAGAGAAACTCAGCAGCACTGTGGTCTCAAAGAAATCCTTGGCCAGCAGCAGAGGGACCCTGGACAACAGGAGGACCCCACAGGGCGGTCCTGAGTCGGGCTCATTTGGTGCAGGCCAGGAGCAGGCTGCCCTGGGAAGAGGCGTGGCCTTGGGTGAGGTGACTGACTTCCTGTTGAGGGCGTTACCAAGGGGGCCGAAAGCTAAGGGCTGTGTTCCCACAGCACTTCCAGCATCCTTTGTTCCCAAAGGGGGTCCAGGCAATGCGTCACAGCGTCCCCAGCAGGAAGGAAAGGCAGTGTGGGGTCCGCCTGGGAGCGGCCATGACGGCCAGCTTGCATTAGCTGCAATACAGCAGGAGATAGAGCAGGAGGTGGGACGGCTGCCTTGGGATACTGTCTGGGAGTAATGTCGGCTCCGGGATACGCTTCAGGCGCCGAGTGTAGAGTTCCAGGGGGTCAGCTGCCCTTGGGGACACGCAGATATTTGTTGAGGAAGTGGAGTGGGGGTAACTGTGTGGGCAGGGGGACAGGATGGGTGGAGTGCAGACAGTGCTGACATTTTTGGGGCCAGCAGCAGCTGCACAAATGGACCCACGAGCCCCGTCTGTCTAAAGATAAGTCGTAAACCAAGGTGCAAACCCAACTGCTGAGTAAAAACACAGTCTAGCCTCCTTGTTCTGGAATAAAGGGCCCTTCAGTTATTACCCACCTTGGCAGAGATGAGGGGCTTGGCACTCGTCCATCCCATGGGGGTGCCCCACCCCAGGGAGGGGCGTTACCCCGAGGTGTCTGTGGCTGAGGGGCTGACCTCATGCCCAGCAGCAGGAGCAGGGGACCATGGCAGTGGGGGCTTGCTCTCTGCAGAGGGCCCACCACAGCACATGCTTGGGCCTGGGTCTGGGGACCATGCAGGACCCAGGGGTCAGTTGGGGATGGGGTGGCTGGCTGTTTGTCTCCAGGACCCGGAGACCTTCATGATGGCCATTTGTCCCCCTCGCAGTCTGCCTGAAGGGCACCAAGGTGCACATGAAGTGCTTCCTGGCCTTCACCCAGGCGAAGACCTTCCACGAGGCCAGTGAGGACTGCATCTCCCGCGGGGGCACGCTGGGCACCCCGCAGACGGGCTCGGAGAACGACGCGCTGTACGAGTACCTGCGCCAGAGCCTGGGCGGCGACGCCGAGATCTGGCTGGGCCTCAATGACATGGCGGTGGAGGGCGCCTGGGTGGACATGACCGGCGGCCACATCACGTACAAGAACTGGGAGACGGAGATCACGGAGCAGCCCGACGGCGGCAAGGGCGAGAACTGCGCCGCGCTGTCGGGCACGGCCAACGGCAAGTGGTTCGACAAGCGCTGCCGCGACAAGCTGCCCTACATCTGCCAGTTTGCCATCGTGTAGCCCCGGGGACCCGGAGGAGGGGCTGCATGCTGCCGCTGGGGAGGGGGTGGGGTGGCCGGGGAGGGGCCTGGGGGAGGGGCGGGGTCGTGGGGGCCGGAGGAGGGGCCTGGGGACCTTCCTACCCCCGCTCCTGGACACCCTCCAGTGCTGGGAGCCTCCCTTTGCAAATAAAGTTGGTGCAGCTTTTGGAGAGTGGCTACATCTGCGAGGGTGCTCGGGACTCAGGGTGCGGACGGGGCGTGAGAGGCGGCTGGACACACGGCAGAGAGGGGGCCCCTGGGGGAGCGAGGCGAAGAGATCCCGCAGGGCTGCCGCCCTTTTCTTTCTATTCTATTTTTCACTGCATTCCCTACCTATAGAAAACCGGCAAGAATTCCTGTCAGCCCTTCAATCAGATTCTCCAAACTTTACCATTTTTCTGTATTTGCTCTGTCCTTTTACTTTTTCCGAACCGGTTGACAGTAAATTGCAGGCGTGATGCCCCCCCCCCCAAATGTTTGAGCGTGTCTTGGGAAAGGAGGGCATTCTACATACGCACAGCACTGTCACCAAGGTCGGAAAATTCACGCTTTACAGTACTGTCATCTGAGTTACAGGTGACTGGGACTCAGCTCTCCAGGCTTCAAGCTCCACCTCCCTGTGTTGGAATCCAGCATCCCCTCCCCAGCGTCAGGGCAGGGGAGACCCCCACCCCACCCTTCCTGTCCTGATCCCTTTCTGGGGTGTACTGCCATGCAGAGTCCTGCTGGGGGGTCAGGGTGGGGCTGAGAGCAGAGGCTGCCCACGGGGGTTGCAGCCCCTCCTTGCTGGAGTGTGCTACACTCTGGGAGTGGGGGAGAGGGTCCGGAAGCCAAATATGACAATGGCCTACATTGCCTGACCAGTACGTCCCCTTCTTCCCACTCCTCACAGAAAACTCCGTGTTAACAATGGCGGCTCCCACTCATTGAGTCCCCCATGCTGCGGGAACCTTAAGCATGTTTCTTGTTTAATCTTACCCACCCAGGACAAGGTGGGTCATTATGCTGAAGAGGATGTAGAAGCTCAAGGAAGTTAAGCGACTTCCTTTGGTCACACAGCCGGTGAGTATCAGGGCCAGGATTTAACGCAGGGCTGATCTATAAGGGCCTTGGCCTTTCTACCATCACTGTGATACCTGCTTCCTGCACTGGAATGTTCCTGGGATGACACATCAGAGAAGTGGCCTAGGGGTCCCCAGAGGCTGTTGGCCAGCTCCCGGCATGCCCTGGCTTTTCCAATCAGGTAGGCCCAGCTGTAGCCACACCCTGCTAGGCGCTGTCAGCCACGGCATCGCCCACTGTCTGGGCTGCCACAGCCCCTTTCCCTGCCTGGGTGTCTCTTGGAGGGTCTCACTTTTACTGAGAAATCGGTGACAGTTGGATTTCATGCATGGTAGTTAGTGGGTGGGCTGGGGGAGGTGGCAGACTTCGGGCCAGACAGTCTGCTTGGCATCATCACAGAAAGCATCTCCTGTAATTATGGGAAGAGGCAATGACGTCCGTCGTGGGTGCAGAAGCTCAGGTATAGAAGGGCAACGTGATTTGTTTGAGAAGGCACAGCGAGCCTGAGGCAAAGCTGAGGTTCAGATGCAGGTCTTGCAACGGATCTTGGGCTCTTCACACCCACTCAGCCATGAGCAGGCAGTAGGTGGCCAGAGGATTTTCAAAGTTCCTGAAGTGGGTGGTCTCAGACAGGGGGACACCATGCCCCCCATGCCTGAGTGTGGATCCCGGTGCACCCTCTTGGGCAGGCAGGGAAAATTCCTCACTTCCAGCAGCAGGTGGCAGTATGAGCCAGAGAATCCTTACCCATCTTTAATAGGCCACCGCGGCTCTAGCATTGGGCTCACAATGGTCTTTGCTCCCTATACCTGTCCTGGGACCTTTATTTTAAATGTTGACGTTGTGTTCATCATGGGTTTCTTTACATTAATTTTCATTTTTTAAATATCTCATTCAAGCATTATTTACTATATTACTGAGTTTTGGGGAGAGGGTTACTTTCTTAAATTTGGTGCCTTGGGTGAGTGTGTCACTCACTTCACTAGTCCCCGCCCTGGGACAGAGGTACAAAATTTGGAGAATTTTCCAGGGTATATATGAACAAGGAACAGGAATCAGTTTCTAGATCTTCGACCTCTGTGCTGCTCTCCTAGCAGGGACGGCAGAGGCCTCCTGCGCAGTCTCCCGCCCCCTGTGGGCCACGGCTGTTGCCTGGTCGAACAAAGGGATGATTTGAAATATGCAAAAGGTGGGGTGAAACCCCCTTTAGCCAGGCTCCCAACGCAGAGCGCTTTCGACCTGTCCCTCCAGTACGAGCGACATCACTCTTTTCTGTCCACCACCTTCTCTGCCTGATGGATGTTTCTCAGCCTTTGCAACTCTCAAAATGAACAACAAAATTGGTATTGGTGCTGAACCCTGCTTCATCCTATGAGGCATGCACCCACAAGCGAGGGAAAATCCATGTTTACAAAAACGTACCCCATGGCAGTGATGTGTGGCTCCACTGTGTGGTAACAGTGAGTGGGGTGGGAGGACGCTGGTAGTCAGTTTGAGGAGGGCTGGCCCAGACCCTTTCTCCGATGGCGTGCACGGGAAGGCCGTGACCCCACAGCGGAGAGAGCAGCTGAGCAGGCGGAGGCGGCCCTGGGAAGGGCCTTTCCCCCTCTGCTGTGCTCCTTGCCAAGGCCCTGCACCCAGGCCCCAGCCCCACTGTGCTGTCCTGCCCGTCCCATCGCTGCAGGCTGCTCCTGTTCCCTCCTTTTTGTGTTTGGCCACCCCCTCAGCCTTCCTCAGCCTGGCCGTCCCAGTCACTGGGTGGAAACTCCTGGGGGGGGGGTCCCTGGGAGACCAGGGGCTGGTCTGGGTGGCCCTCGCCGTGGGATGTGGATAAAGCCTGTGGGACATCTCGGCCTTCAGTTTATTCACCTGCAAAATGAGGTTTAGACTAGGAGCCGCAGAGAGCGCATGTGAACGACCGAAGTGAGCGTGTGTTAGTAGGGAGGAGGGAGCGAGGGGCCCTTTTTAGCTGGTTGTGTCGTCTCTCACAGGTGCACGACCTATAACCCTCCGGCTGCTTGGCCGTCAGCGCTCCCGAAGGCCGTGGCAGCGTGTGGGATTGCCTTCTTCAGTATCCACAGTGCAAGTGACTCACTAAAGAATAATACTGAGAAAATCACTGCAATATGTTTTAATTAGTTCATAGATTAATATAGCTTGTTTGCTGAAGAACTCACAATGTAGTCTGTTGCCTAGGGAACAGGGCTAGAAACAAAAGCTTAGAATCGAGAAAATCGAATAAAAATTGGCAAAGAAGCTCCATCACCTATTATTACCACCTCTCCCACCGCAGCCCCACAGTTCATGCCTCTCCTTGTTTAGAAGGATCTCAGCAGCTCAGGAAAGCGGTCGTGCTTGCTGAGCAAGTGAGTGGATGCAACCACCGAGGGCCTGGAATCTCCTCCCTCCCCCGCAACCCGCCCCTGGTCTGAACTCTCCCTCGTAGCCCGCATGGTGTGTATTCAATCAAAGTGAATCGAAATAACGGAACCGAACTACAGACCCAGCAGAGTGAACACCACACAGGTTAGCGCCTCCGCGCTCACCCTCCTCATGCAGACCAGAGCAGATGCGATGCCGTGTTCAGGCATGGCTGGCCCCGGGGCAAGGATCTGGGGGCAACTGGAAACATCCTGTTTGTGCGAGACGCCTGTGCTTGCAGCGTCTGTAGCGAGTGTGCGTTTCCAACCTAAAAATCCATGTCCCTGGTCTGGAGAAAATAAATTAGATTGATTTTTTTAACACCAAAGACAAAGGCTTTCATGGAAGGAGCTTGTTATCTGTGTTATTTATGGGAAATGTAATTAAAATACAGCTTCTTCCTGGATGTACCAGAGTGACTTGGCCCTAGACAGTTTTTAAAAGGTATGAGCTGTTTTTATCGTCATGATTGGAAGTATCACTGTTGCCAGGGTTTCTCAAAGAGCTCATCTGCAGAAGAGCTCATTGCTGGGTCGCGTTTTGAGAGGTGGGGAGATTTCTGGAAATCTTGCTGCTGACTGCAAGAGTCAGCCCCGGAGAACACATTTCCCATTATCCTTCCTTCAGCGGGGCCTCTGTTCCCTCCCTGGGGAGTAAAGGGGTCGATCACTAAATAATATTTCACTTTCCTTCTAATTCGGATTTTTCAGAAGCTATTGCTTTTCTGCCAGCTGACATGAAGCACAATTGGTTGGCTAGTACTGAATTAGGAATCCATGTTAGTGTTTTGTTCTTTTTTTCTGTTTTTTGTCCTTAAAGGTGAATCTGAGCCCTGGCTGGTGTAGCTCAGTGGATTGAGCACGGGCCTCAGAACCAGACAATCGAGGTTCGATTCCCAGCCAGGGCACATGCCTGGGTTGCAGGCCCGTTCCCTGCAGGCCACTTCCCAGCAGGGGACGCACGAAAGGCAACCATACATTGATGTTTCTCTCCCTCTCTCCTTCCCTTCCCCTCTAAAGATAAACAAATTTAAAAAAATCTTTTAAAAAAAAAGGTGAATCTGTAAGGAAAGTCTTCTTCCTCCTCTGGGTATCCCAAAGTATTTGTTTTCATAAGTATTTCATTTCAAACAGAAACTGTGAGCACAGCAGGAGGTCAAAGTCAGGCCTCTGCAAACCGAGGGCGGACTAGAAAATACAGGACGTCCTGGTGAGTGAGCTTGCTTCTTAAATCAGTTTCACTGAGGTGTAATTCACACACAGTAAAGTGCACCCATTTTAAGTGTGCAACGGATCAGTGCTGACGAATGTTTGCCCCCAGGAGAACCTACCACCCCCAGCACAGACACAGGACATTCCCATCCCCCAGAAAGCACCCTCATGTCCTCACCAGCCTGGGTCTTCCACATGGAGACGTCTTTCCTAAGCGTCCCTCTTCTGACTGTGCTGGGGACACGGAGGAAACCAAGGCCTTGTGCCTGCACAACGGGACGGGGGCGGCTCACACACTAGTGCCAGAGGGTAGGCAGGTCCCCAGC